TGGAATAATCTCCCTGTTGTCATCCACAATGTTACTTGCACACATTATTATTGAATTTAACGTAAAGTTTTAGGATTTGAAAATCTCATAAAGAATTAATATTATTAAAAACTAGTAATTTAGGAAGTATGCAACCAATATCACAATAACGGTATTGCAATACGCAAATCGCGTATTATATTATATTATAGTGTGATATTGGTTGCATACTTGCAATGATGACGTCGAGTACGATAATTAATTAACACACTGTATTATTATACATTAAAATAATAACTAATGAATGAATTATATAAAGATGCCCCACGATGTGTAAACTTAAAAATAACTACCTATTTATTCACACGTTGCAGTTTATTATTTGATTTACATTTACAAGCTTTGGAACGCGGTAATTACAAACCTGTCCGCGCTGGCGCTTCGTCTGAAAACGAACCGGAATTAATGGAAATAGAGACATGGAGGTCGGTCCAAGCGTAAACCCCCGGCTCCTCCGCCCGCACACAAACAGAATCATCCCAGTTTAGGGGGGCCGCTATTGCAAATTTCATTTCAATTTGTGCCCATATTTTAGAATAGAGCCAGCTCCGAATTTATGCTATTCCATACTTGTTTATATTATAAAGTAATTAATTACGTTGATTACTGCGTGCGAACCGTAACAGTATTATTATAAACAGTCCAATAACTATGGGCGACCCCCCCCGGAGCGCCCCCCTAACTCAATCGATACACGACATGCCGACGATTTTAACGTTTTGCTGGATAATTATTTCCGATCGCGTCGAACGTTATGAATTATTTTAAATTAACACTTCGATAGGTCGCACATTTTCGGGTACACTTCCTCCAAATAACGACCAATTGTTGCGACCAACCCGCTTTAATGAAAGAATCTTAACCCCATAGTCGTCGAATAAGCCCCGTAACAAAAAAAAAACTGGGAAATATTGCTATAAAAATATACATAGCGCTACCGCTCGGTCGCAATATGGACAAAACAACCTTTCACCCCACTTTTTTATCTTTTGTATACGTCGACACGTCCGGGTAAAATTGGCGGATAAATATAAATCCGCATCACACATAAACAAAACAAAAAAAATTATTTTCGAACAATTTTGAAACAAGATAATTTAAAGTCAATATTTATAATTTTATAGGTAATAAAATGAGATTTGAATATCGATTAGATTATAATGTTAGTTTTGTTATTTTTGTTAAGGGTTTATTTTGTTCAGACTCATCGACGTCAAAATATGCAGTAAATTAACTTTGGCCCGGTACGTAATTAAAGCCCAATATCGCCGTAGTAATAAAGTAGATTATAATTACCCCCTGTATGAGGGGGATGATTAAAATTTCCTGCGCACACTTTTCGGGCGCGTAAACGGCCCTCTGATTTGCTTAAGCCGAATCCAATTAGCAGTTTGTTTGGCCCTTTTCGCAGTCTCGTCGCGTACCTCGTACTCCATAAATTTACTTTTATTGGGGGGCCCACAGAACGTCCGAACATAGTAAATGATAGCGGAGCTCCTGGGCCGACAAAAAAAAGGCCCGCAGCATTGATTTATTTCGATAGATTATGCCCATATTTCACGCGGCCCGTTCCTTTTACACCAATGTCTGACGTGTCGGGATCCCCAAATCGAAAACTCTGTTTGTACTTTCGGCTTTCAAAATGTGACGATAATTTACAAAAAGAGAACGATGACCGTTTTGATTTATTTCACTCCCCGCCGCGTTACTACTACGTTTGTCATTTTCGATCGAATGCAGTTTATCTCAAACCATTTTTTCAACGTCCATTACTTTTATTTCATCATTTTACTTCGCAATTATTTATTGGTTTAACCACAAGATGATGTTATTTGTATTTTCGTATTATATCGATTTCGTTTTCATACCCAATAACTTTCTTTATAATACAGTTATGTCGTTCAACGAAATAAATTCCTAAAGTTACGGTTTTCCGATGTAATAAGATAGTCGAACAAATACGGGGAAGTAATCACCTTCCTTTTTTAGTTTTTTTTTATAAATTGTTTTATAAATTTATGTTATTAATAAATTTATTCTAAAATTTTTTGAATGTGTTAGAGTTATTATGGTATAAAATTTTTACTGCTAGTATTAGCTGGGATTTCAGTGGCAACCAATTTACCACCGGCAACAAACATTTAATTCCTACGCACTGTAAAATTAATTTGTGAAATGCAGCTGGAATTTTTGTCCGTATGCTCTTTATCGATCCGTCTACCTAAAGTTGACGAGGCCGACTCATCAAATGTGCATTAACATATCTTCTCTTCATTAGACCATCAAAAATACTAGCACTCAAAAAATAATATTTTTTTAATTTAATAATAAAGTTATAAAAAAAATCGATCACAATATATTTACCTCAACAACATTTATAAATTCCATGGATTAATTGGATTTTCAAACACTAATTTCATTATTAAAAGTAATTTCTTCAAAAATTGTGAGTTTCATAAATTAAATAAGAAATCAATTTTTAACCATTTTTAAAAAATCGAATTATCAAAATATTGTGATGAAATATTCGCGACTTATAGAGAAAACTACGTACTTTTTCATAAATAAAACCGCACTTGAAAATCTGAATTAGCTTTTGAGATAATAATTATTTAATTTAACTTGAATTTTTAATATTTTATTAAGTTATCAATTTTTTAAAAAAATCGCGATAAATCGAATTATCGAGATATTTTCATGAAACATTCGCGATTTATAGAGAAAAGTATGTACTTTTTCATGAACAAAACTGCATTTGAAAATCTCAATCCGTTTTTGAGATAATAATTATTGAAGTTAGCTTAAATTTTTATCTTTGTAGGTTAACAATTTAAAAAAATCGTGAAAAATCGAATTATCAAGATATTGTGATGAAATATTCGCGACTTATTGAGGAAACTACGTACTTTTTCATAAACAAAACCGCACTTGAAAATCTGAATTAGCTTTTGAGATAATAATTATTTAAGTTAACTTGAATTTTTAATATTTTATAAAGTTAGCAATTTTTTAAAAAAATCGTGAATAATCGAATTATCAAGATATCTTGATGAAACATTTGCGATTTGTAGAGAAAAGTATGTATTTTTTCATGAACAAAACCGCATTTGAAAATCTAAATTAGCTTTTGAGATAATAATTATTTAAGTTAACTTGAATTTTTAATATTTTATAAAGTAAGCATTTTTTAAAAAAATCGCGATAAATCGAATTATCGAGATATTTTGATGAAACATTCGCGATTTATTGAGAAAAGTATGGACTTTTTCATGAACAAAACCGCATTTGAAAATCTTAATTCGTTTTTGAGATAATAATTATTGAGGTTAACTTTAAAAAAAATCGTGATAAATAGAATTTTTAAAATATCTTGATGAAACATTCGCGACTTGTAGAGAGAACTACGTACTTTTTCATAAACAAAACCGCACTTTAAAATCTCAATTCGTTTTTGAGATAATAATTATTGAAGTTAGCTTGAATTTTTATGTTTTTATTAAATTAGCAATTTTTTAAAAAATCATGAAATAAAGAATTATCAAGATATTTTGATGAAATATTCGCGACTTATAGAGGAAACTACGTACTTTTTCATAAATAAAACCGCACTTTAAAATCTCAATTCGTTTTTGAGATATTAATTATTGAGGTTAACTCAAATTTTTGTTTTTATGAAGTTAGTAATTTTTTAAAAAAATCGTGAAAAATCGAATTATCAAGATATCTTGATGAAACATTTGCGATTTGTAGAGAAAAGTATGTATTTTTTCATAAACAAAACCGCACTTTAAAATCTCAATTCGTTTTTGAGATATTAATTATTGAGGTTAACTCGAATTTTTGTTTTTATGAAGTTAGCAATTTTTTAAAAAAATCGTAAAAAATCTAATTAGCAAGATATCTTGATGAAACATTCGTGACTTGTAGAAAAAAGTATGTACTTTTTCATGAACAAAACCGCACTTATTCAGTTAATCTATATAATATTGAAGTTAATCACTTATTCAGTTAATTCAAATTTTTTTATTAAAAAGTAGATGATTTTCTTTCCAAATTGTGATAGTTTCATAAAAATTCCGCAAGAACTCGATTTTTAACAAATTTTATTATACAAAAAAGTGATACCGGGATAAATTAAATAATCGAATGAACGACAATAAATATGTCAACCGAGGTCTGTTTTATGAGAGTTTTGGGCACCATTAACAATGTTTATTTGCCGCGGATTATTTGCGTTAAATCGTCGTCCAAATTAGAAATTTCAAGGGAAACAAAACTAACGTGGACCCATTTCGTCGAAACGAATCAATATAATAATTGGGATGTTCGACTGACGACAGAAAAAGCCATTACGCTCAAAAATTATTATCGGAAATTCGAAAATTTGGTTATTGCATTCTGTTGGATGGATTTTTTAAATCAAGTACGTTTTTATGGCTTCGTCACTTTGTTTGTCGCAGAAATAGTTATCAAAAAGTAATTAGCACATCAAAAGCACATCAGAAACTCTTTGTAAGTTTAATTTTAATTTTTTTTATTGTAGTTATAAATTTTTACATAAATCAGAATAAAACTTGAAACTTTCTGCTGAGAATAAAAATTTTTAAAGTTAAAATTTATTTCCCTCTAAGGGGCGACGGTATCACAACTTGGAATAAAATTTGTTAAAAAACAAATTGTTAACTTCTCTTGAATTAAAATTAATTGATCAAAATTCATTTCGAAAATAGAACATATTTTTGGTGCTGTGTGCCAAAAAGCAATTTCGTACACAGGGTAAAGCGGATATTCGCATCTTTCGAAACTTGTACAAACTCATTCTCAACGCCAGTTCTTTTATTAATATTCGACGCGAAGGGGAAATAAGTTGCGCAAAGTGTCGGATTAGAGAAGAAGGAAAAAGTAAATAATGCCATGCCGGGTCTCCTGGGGAGTTAATTAAAAAAAGGGAGAAAACTTACCACGTGATTCCAAAGGAACCGAGGTGAAAGGGCGTCCTAACAACACGGCGCTTCGTACACAACTGCGCGCAAAAGGATTCATCCTACCCTCCTGAGCGCCAGCTCTTTTAAACCTCTATGCGCTTGTCACAACCTGTCTATATCCTATTCTTTATGTATATCATCATCATTAATATATTAAATATATAAAATAAATGATATCCTTGAAAAAGTTCCTTAATGGGACCGATTTCAGATTGGGTTCATCTTCAGGCGAATATTTATTTTTTTTTTATAATTTGTGTATAAAAGAAAAAAAAGTATTATTAATGGGAGGAGGTTAAAGCTTCCCGTGGTTCCGGAAAGCTCTTTAATGGAAGTCTGGCGAAAGAATTTCAAACTCCTCCCTCGATATTGGATGAGGATTTCAAATAATAATCGAAGGGGGTCGGTGTCCTATAGCATCGAATTTATTTTCTATTCTCGGTCACGAGTCCATCGAATACGATCCAATTTAAATCCCGTAATTTCGTTAGATAGAGAAATTCATTTTCCAACACACTAATTTCAGTGTATTAATTTCAATCTACTTCCACATCGACCTCCCGACGTCAAACATTTACAATTACGATTATTACTTGCCCGATTGTTTGGAGTTTAGAGAGTTCTATAATCCTCCTGGTCAGGTCCCGGCCTCATTAATCCCGTTATAATCATAAGTTTTCTCTGATACTCTATATGTGTCCATTCAGGGTTATTTAATATCAAAGCTATCATATTACATGACACTATAAGTTTTCATTTATTTTATAGAGCCGAAAAAAATCTATATTTAATCTAATCTAATTAAAATGACGCAATTTAAATTTTTTGACCCAAACAGTTTTTGGAGTAATAAATTTTATTTTATTCGAAAACTTTCCGTGCTCCGAATCATTTAAAAATTAAATGGAGTCGCCATCTATTCGCCGTGAGTTAAACTATTTTTATGTTCAAAATATTAAAGAGATAAAACTGTTATTTTAAATTAAAAATAATATAAAATATTTATTAATATCACACAGGATTTTTACATTGATAACAATCCTCCATTATCTCTTGAAACTCTTCAATTTGCAAGGTCATCTCGAAAAAGTTATACTTTTCGTGTATATTTTTAGTGGCCATCATAAGAATAAGTTGCGGATTTGTTTCGGGAGCAATCGCAAGATGAGCGGAAAGAGCAAGTTTGTCCAAACTCAAAGCCCAAATTCGCAGATTATGAACTCGTTTAACTCCCTCGATTTCCAAAAAGATTCCCATAACGTCGTTAAAATCGATTCCTTTCGGTATTCCTTCCATGAGCACTTGCAAAGTATCTTTTATAATATTAAAAGTTGTTATCAACACAATCACGGAAAATATAAATGTGCAAATTGGATCGATGAGTCTGTATTCCGGCTTAAAATATATCACCAAAGCCGCGAGAAAAACGCCAAAACTTTGCAAGAAATCTCCAACGACGTGAATAAAAGCTGCTCTAACATTTATATTTTCATCCGAATGTTTTTTATTATCCATTGTATGGGAATGACCATGATGGTGGAGTGTTAATCCCATTCTACTCTAACAAAACATAGAAATTATTTAAAAATATGTACACTGTGTTAATTAATTATCGTACCCGACGTCATCAAGTATGCAACCAATATCACAGTATTGGTATGGTAATACGTGATTTGCATATTTGGTTGCATACTTGCAATGATGATGTCGGGTACGATAATTAATTAACACACTGTATTGTAAAAAGAATATTACATTAAGTTTACTCCAACCCCAACAGCAGACGTCACGAGCATTACAAAAGCATCTATATTAAAATTTTCCTCAATTACTCTTTGAACGGCTAAATAAACTAATACCCCGGTTACCACCCAAATTAAAAGAACTGAAGTTAGAGCCCCAATTACTTCGGCTCTATACCAGCCAAAAGGCATATTTTTCGTTGCTGGCCTTGTCGCCATCCATATAGAAAACAAAGAAATCATAAAACTTGCAAAATCTGTTAAAAGATGAGCTGCATCCGTTGCTATTGCCAAACTACCCGAAATGTATCCACCTAAAAAAATAAAGTGTTTAAAAAAATTATTCCACATCGTTTAGTTACATTACCTGTAATTTCCAACAACATAAATATCACACATAATATACTAGCAATAATTAATTTCTTTCGGGCATTTTTATCTATTTCTTTAGATTGCGTGACATGGCAATGTTTGTTTACTATTAAAAAAAATTATTAATTATATTAATTATTAATTAATAAAATACTCACTTTCATTTGTGGCATCTTGATTTTCTCTCGCATTACTAGCAATACTAACGTTACTATTATCAATATCAATAACTTCACCTTCTAAAACTTTGCAACAACCCGTACTGGGTTTACCATGAACACAATAAATAACTTTTCTGCTTGGTGAACTGGTTGGAGTTTGGTCGTTTTGATTGAATCTGGCCCCGTAGTGCATTCCATTCGATCTGAATTTAAAATTTAGTAAAAACCACATGTTATTAAAACAGAACGGTAAACCACAATAAATTGAAAACGTTGTCGGTCGAAGAAAAATAAATATAAAACGTATGCAAAATGAAAAAAATCGCTGATAAATAATGCTTATACATACATTAAAAGAGGCTTACGTTCTTCGTTATTATCCATTTTGCACGCGGACGTAAAATGCACTTCTTCACAACTGGCCGAACTGCATTGGGCGATTACTTTTTGTTAGATTTAAGTCAGAAACCGGCAGCTTAAAATACAAAACATGCAGCATTGCACGCGACCCCAACATCTTTCTGTGTTATCAATTCTTAATAAATACTAAATTACACAAATATACTTGTTTGTATGAAGTTCGATATGCGTTTCTCAACAACTTATCAAAATAATTTTTTTTTTAATTTTAAAAAATTTTTTAATATTTCATAATTTTTAATATAATAATTAATTGATTAATAATTAATTTTCTTTTCTATCTCCATTTTTAGGTTATTTCAACAATCGAACTTTCTAGTTCTAGGTCTAGTATTAGTTCTAGTGTTAGTTCTAATTTTAATTCTAGCACGAAAACTCACAGCAGACCTAGAACTAGAATTATTCGGATTTAGCCGCACGTCTCTTGAGACGGCTAAAACCGAATGATTCTAGTTCCAGGTCTAGTGTTAGTTTTAGTTTTAGTTCAATGAAAAACATACAACATTGAACTAAAACTAGAACTAACACTACACCTGGAACTAGAATTATTCGGCTTTTGCCGTCTCAAGAGACGTGCGGCTAAATCCGAATAATTCTAGTTTCTAGGTCTAGTGTAAGTTTTAGTTTTAGCTCAATGAAAAACATACAACATTGAACTAAAACTAGAACTAACACTAGACCTAGAACTAGAATCATTCGGATTTAGCCGCACGTCTCTTAAGACGGCTAAAGCCGAATGATTCTAGTTCTAGGTCTAGTGTTAGTTCTAGTTTTAATTCTAGCACCAAAACTAACCTTATCTACTACCTACTACCCTACTACCTATCATTCGGGTTTAGCCGTCTTAAGAGACGTGCGGCTAAACCCGAATGATTCTAGTTCTAGATCTATTGTTAGTTCTAGCACCAAAAACCATGCATACGGCTAAAAAAAAAGAATATTTACATTTAAAATTTAAAACTACGCGCGTTTATAGTTTCTGCCATGCGCATTAAAAGGTTGAAAGTCCATTTGTATTCGGCGAATAACACCGCTTGGAGGAAGAGACGATCTGACGATGAGTTAAATGTCCCGAGGAATGCGTAAGAGAAAGATGAATAGCACCTGATACACAACAAACGATCCAGCAGGTATCTTATCATCACAATGTTCTCGGTTTCGATGACAGTGTTATGGAACAGTTCAATGTTGAGTCACACATGATTCGTGTGTCGTAAAATGGGAGGTAACGATAAAACCGTTTCGAATCAGTTTTCGTGCTCGACCTCGTGAAATTCACAGCAAAGAAGATTCCCTGAGGAAACTTAAAGCAAATGACATGGGATTTTGCCAGCAACGGTTTTTTATGTTAACAATATGCTTTCTTCAAATAGTAAGTCTATTTTTAATTATTTTTTTAAATCAAAATCTTATTATTATTAACACACAATTTAATCATCGGTTTCTATTTAAACGCGATAGTTATTGTTCAACACATTGTTATCAATTTCCTTGAATGCTAACTAATTGCAAGAGATTATTTTTAAAGATATCTATTTTATTATCATAGTATTATAAAAATATTCTTTTTTTTTTAAACAGGTGTCGATTGCCCAACGGCAAGTCTTCGATTTTTTAGGTTATTTATGGATACCCATTCTAATTAACTTCTTCCAAATAATATTTGTTATTTTTGGATTTTATGGTACCTTTCAATATCGACCAAAGTACATAATTTCGGTAAGAATCTTTTTTTTGTAGATATTAATTTTTTATTCCCACATTTTTTTTTAGTATTCCGTTTGGCATCTTTTTTATCTTGGATGGAATATGTTCCTTATCTGTTTATACTTAGATATAGGAATATTAGATCATAGGGTAAGTTTTTTATTAGGTTACAATGCTACTAAATAACCAAGTAGTATGATGTAATTTAATTGTTAATTGATGAAGTTTTTAGTCTGCTTTAAAACCCTTCCTGCTTTGTTATTTTTCATTACAAACTCAGATAATTTGTCAATGCTGTCATAATTATTATCAATATCCTCTTCATCATTTCATGCATTTGTTACGGATGTGGATCATATCTATCAATATTGCTTTCATTCTAGGTTCAATATTTATCTCTTTCTGACAAATTTCATTCTTAATAATATTGCTATTAGATGCATATTGTCCATGATACTTGGAGAAATTTTTTATAAAGTTCTTTAATTAATATATTATTATGTTTTAGCAAAATATTGTAATTAAATTAGATCCGGATAGTTATACATGGTGGAGCCAAAATGGTCCTGGATGTCAAGGTACTCTTAATGTCACAGGATCAATGCCTATGTATGAAGATAAAAATTGCATCATTGATTATCGTTACATTGAAATATTTCAAGCTGGTCTGCAATGTTTCTTAGCGGTATGTTTTCAACTTTTTTTCTATAATTTTTTAATTTTGTATTTTCCAGTTTTTCGGAATAATATCCGGACTATGTTTAAGTAGAACATTTTTAGAAGAAGATGACAGTTGTAAGTAATTTAATTAAAGTTTTAAGTTGTAAATTAGGCTTAGATCATGATTATACTAACAGAAAAAAAAAAAATAATAAACTGGTGGTAGCGTACTTTTCACACTTAAATGTGCTTGCAGTTGATTTCATTGGTGGGTTTGATCCACAAACAATATGGTAAGTTGCATTCGGTGGCGTTGCATTGTATCTATGTTCCTGCTAATCATCCGCATTATTACTTTATTTATTTAATTTATAGTTTCTATATTTTGAATTACTCTTTCTTTTCTTTTAATTCAATTTAGCATGATGATTTATTTATCACTTAATGTTTAGATTGCATGTTATATAAAATGTAATAAAAAGAAAGGGTGATTTTTGAATGTATTGAATGAAATGTATCTAAGTGGTGGTTTTAACGGTTTAATTTTCAGTTAATTATATCAGTGGGGATGGTAAAGATCCGCATCATATGTCCTTGCAACCGATGTACGTGGAGAATGATAGTTTCCCTTTGCATACGATGCACGCTTATTCTGACAAGACTGAATCGCTCTTATCGCTGCATTCTAACAAATCTAAGGTGGGCGGCAGTTATGGTAAACAAAAGTCGTCGTTCGGTAACCACGTTCATACGGACCTAATACGGTTCCAAAGTTCGGTTTATCGTGACGCTTTGAATGAGGACGTCGACTGTTCCATCAGCCCAGACAGTGTGGCCAGGCCAATATCCCTTTATTCCGCACCAAAAGATGCTTATTGATCTCAATTTTATTTATTTTTTTTTATTTATTTTATTGTTATTTATTTTTACGCATGTAGTATTATTTTTATTCCTTTATAGTTTTTTATTGGGTGCCATCTTGTATTTTTTTTATCTTTAATAAGTTGTATGACTGCAATTTTTGCACGTTTTGTAGTAACTAATCCAAATAATAAAATTAATTAATTTTCTTTATTATTCATATATTTTTATTCATATTTAGCGTCACGTAAGCAACTGCGTAAACCAAAGAACCGTACTTCTCTCTATTCCATAGAGTTTAATACGCAAATGGACGGACGGGGTGGTAGTGAAAGTCCAGATTTTCCTACCGATCATGTTCCATCTCAAGTATCCCCAAAACCAATGACCCCTCGTCGTGTAAAACGAAGAAGCGTCATGCAAAGGGGTTCTTCCGGTCGCCATAGTACGGGTAGTCGTAGACAAAACACTGCAAGGTCATCAACGCGGAGTTCAAGAAGAATGGCACAAAATCCTGTTACAAGACTTCTCGAGCAACAGCAAAAAATACAACATTATGATCCGCCAGCGAGTTCATCCCCGATTGAAACTTTACCGAATTATTATAGCAACGTATCGAACAATAATTTGTTATCGTTGCAAAGTAATTGGCAAAGTAACGGTCATACGAACCCCACTTATCAGCAATCCTCGACGCAATCTTTAAACGAACCCGAAGATTTCGACGAATTGTATAACAACAGGCCTGCGAGTGTTAGATCGAGTTACTCGAATTTTCACGGTACACGTGCTATTAATTATAACACACAACACTATCACGGAGCCACACCTCAAGTCCCACAAAAACGAAGCTCAAACCCCAATAGACATAGCATGCGATCAATGGCGTTTTTAAATAATGGTCCTCCAGCTTATAGTTCTCAAGGTCATTCTTCGCCTTTGGATTCTGAGACAACCATTTAACTATATCTTGCAATTTTTTTATATAGGATGATTTATATCCTGTATATTCATGTCCTCTTTTCTAACCTGTGATACCTATAGCAATGATTAAAATATGGTTAGTGCGTTGCGTGCATATTTTTTATACATCATCTTTCAGTATTTTTAAGATAACAATTATTAGGATTGTTTAAAAAGGGAATAAATATACTACTTATTACTTATTATTCACAATTTAGGATGTAAAAATTGTTTTGGCCAACTTGCCAAAATTTTAATTAAATACAAAGAAAATGTATCAAGTCAATAAGTCTGATAATAAATACAATTTTTGAATAATTTAATTATAATAAAAAAATATTGCTCATTCAACTAGCTACCTTCTTATCTAATTATCTAGATCGAAACTTGTTTTCCATGTACATAATTGTAAATAAATTTATATATTAGTTTTGTGATTTATCTTAAAAAAATTATTTATTTTTGTATTAAGTTAAATCACGCCGATTTATTACGAAATTTTTTTGCAAAATTAGTTACTGTTTTAAAATTTGATTAATTCCAATGTGGTCGCGAAATGTTTCAGAACGAATTAGTTTATTGTTATTCGTTAACGTTTCTGGTTAAACACTTATAGTTATATAAGATTCCCTCAAACACGTTGAAATAATAAATAAAAATATGATTATTTCCCCCCCTCTCCGATAGAAAACGAAGCATATCACTGATAGTGTTCACGTGTGCAGCTAATAATTTATTTTAAGTTCCCATAGAGTTACGATTAGTTTAATAAACTAAGCGATATCGACCAAAGTATTAATAATAAATAAACGCATATATATTTGTACTGAAATTTGTATGTGAACAAAAAAAAAACGATTTGTAATAAACGTATTAAATATTGTATTTATAACTTATTTTTCTAAATATCCAACGCATTTTTGATAAAACTTATCGTGTATTTGAAATTTTAAGTGTGATAGAAATAGTTGTAACAAAATGGAAAAATAATTGGTGTTTACGCTTAGTACGGATCATTGGCGTAGAGGCGTTAATTGACATTGGTTACCTGATTTTTTTACGAAATTTCAGTTTATTTTAGTGACGTTATATATAGCAAAAGGTCCGATTCAAATTGAGATGATGCGCGCGCACTTAATTTTCACGCTCCTACGGTCCGAATTGTATAGATCCGCCACTATATTTTCAGAACCGTCCATTACGAAAGAGTCCACCTTTATTGGATAAAGGACGATGAAACGGATAATATTAAATTGTTTGTTAAGAAACGAAACGAAAACGAATTATACCGCGTGTAGAGCGTTTTTTAAAAATTCTCATATACATTCGTATCATTCCTTTAATGAAAATGTGAGTAATCAAAAAAATTTTTGATTTTTATAATTTTTCTATTATTGTTATAGGCAGATCTTACTCAATATAATGAAGGAAAAATTCCACAAAGGTACATCTTTTGGCTAAAATGTATACTTCTATATTATTTTATTTTATATCTTAATTTTTAAATTTAATTCCCTCCTATTTTTATTTTTAATTTTATTTTATTTTTTGTTTTCTTTTACATACATTTCAGACGGAAATATTCTTTTATCCATGACCCAAATTATTCGTTTTTGTAAGTTGCGTTTTATTCCAAACATTTCCCGGCAATTTTCATTAATGATTAATCATTTTTATAGATCCTCAGAACAAGATGAACCGGAAGGGGCTCTTTTTGAAATGTTCAAAAATCAAGAAACTGGGTTGTTATCAATGGGAAAATTTTTAGCGGTAAATTTTTATTTTCGTTACGAGAAAACTAATTATTTTGAATTCCTCTTTTCTACAAAGGCTCTTAGAAATACTGGTTTACGTAAAAATGACCCGCGTTTGAAAGAAATGATGGACAATATCAAAAGGGCACAAAAAAGATCAAACGCAGAGGGTGGCTCAATTGACACTCAAAAACTCGATCTTGATACATTCCGTAGGTAAGTTAACGTGAGCCCAATGATTATCTTTAATTAAGTGTTAAACTGGCGATAATTTTAACGATGCTAATTACAATGTGGTTACTAAGAGAAACCAATTTTTAATTTTTTTAGTATTGTAAGTCAAAATATAGGATTAATTACGCGAGCGTTTAGGCATCAATTTATTATTCCCGACTTCCAAACGTTTTCGAAAGATATCGAGGAAATCTACTGGAAATGTAAAGATAATCGAAACGGAAAGGTAATTCCATAAAAAATTTAATCGAAATTATAAATGTCACCAAAAAATTTTAGGTGGCAGATTATATTCCGCAATTATCTCGGATGAATCCGAACCACTGGGGAGTTAGTATATGCACCATCGATGGACAACGATTCTCAATAGGAGACGTCAACGTACCTTTTACTCTCCAATCTTGCAGCAAACCATTAACATATGCTATAGCTTTAGATGAACTTGGGCAAGATGTTGTTCATAATTACGTTGGACAAGAACCTAGTGGAAGAAATTTTAATGAATTAATTTTAGATCATAATAGTGAGTTAGTTCGTAATAGCAAATTGTTTACTATATATTTTTTTTTCAGAAAAACCACATAATCCCATGATAAACGCAGGAGCAATTTTAGTATGTGCATTATTAAAAACATTAGTAAAACCTGAAATGACATTGGCGGAAAAATTTGATTTTACAATGAATTATTTTGAACGATTAGCTGGTGGTGATGACTTAGGTTTTAATAATGCCGTGTTTCTTTCTGAAAGGGAAGCGGCTGATAGAAATTACGCTTTAGGGTTCTTTATGAGAGAACATAAATGTTATCCCGAGAAAACTAGTTTCCGGGAATGTATGGATTTTTATTTCCAAGTAATGAATTAAAAAAAATTAAAAATTCGTTTTAAAAATTATAATTTTTTTAGTGTTGTTCAATGGAAGCTAATTGCGATATTTTGTCGGTTATGGCAGCTACTTTAGCGAATGGTGGAATATGTCCTTTAACGGAAGAGAAAGTTTTAAACTCAGAAAGCGTTCGAGATACTTTATCGTTAATGCATAGTTGTGGGATGTACGATTATTCTGGTCAATTCGCTTTTAAAGTTGGTCTTCCAGCAAAATCTGGAGTTTGTGGTGGCTTAATTGTAGTTATTCCCAACGTAATGGGTATTAGTACTTGGTCGCCGCCATTAGATGCCTTAGGAAACAGTTGCAAAGGAGTACAGTTTTGCGAAGAGTTGGTGAAAAAATTTAATTTCCATCGGTACGATAATTTAAGACACGCAACCAATAAATCTGATCCAAGGAGGCATAAATTTGAAACAAAAGGTTTAAATATAGTCAATTTACTGTTTTGCGCCGCCAGTGGAGATATCACAGCTTTAAGACGCCATAAATTATCCGGTATGGATATGACGTTATCCGATTACGACGGAAGAACAGCTTTGCATTTAGCATCGGCTGAGGGACACGTAGAATGTGTTGATTTCTTATTAAAATATTGCAACGTTAAATACAATGTTAAAGATCGATGGGGGAAGACCCCAACCGATGAAGCTTTGGCGTTTGGGCATATGCAAGTAGTCGAATTAATTCAAAATTGGGAAAACCAAGTTACAGATGATACCAAAAAAGAGGAGGAAAAGAAAGATTGGGAAAAAGGCGATGATAGTACTCCAATTCCACCTCACACAACCTAAATGTACAAAAATTTCCATTTTTATTCTTATTGTAATAGTATAATTTTTAAAACAAATCTAAATTCGCAGAGCTTCTTGTGATCGTTTACACATTTCGTTATACAGGTGGTCTTTTTAACTTGAAATAAGAAATAAAATTGACTTATCTTAAATTAAAAGGACTACTGCGTTGTGATTTATGCGTATCAGTATTAAATTTCCATTTTCTTTTGTTTAGTTAGCAATAATGTACTAAATTTTAATCAATTATGTCTATTCTAATGTGAAATTATCTCGGACAATAAATTTAAATCTGTTGATTTTGGTTATTTCATTTTAATTGGTAACCCTGTATCAATATTCTGTATTTAGAGGTTATGATATTTCAAAAATAAATAATCAAAAAGCATATTTTAAATTAACACACAAAATTTGAGAATAAAATAACTGAATTTTTTATTTAATGCCCGTTTTATTACGTCTCGCGACTTTGAGGTTATTATTTTGTCTCAATCCTACACAAAAAGAAAGTGAGGTTAAGTTAAATCTGACTTTTTAGAATTCAAAGTGTTGTTCTCCGTTCGTTAAGAAAAATGTCTTTCCAATATCCGAAGGCACGTTTGGATGACACCGTTAAAGATAATTATCATGGTGTTGAGGTAAAAATTAGTTACATAAAAATAAGTTTTATTTTTAACAATTCTTTTAATAATGTTTAGGTTTCGGATCCTTTCCGATGGCTTGAAGACCCCGATGCGGAAGAGACCAAGGCTTTTGTTGACGCTCAAAACGCGATTACACGACCTTTCATTGATAGCTACCCATTAAAAGACCAAATTAACAAAAAAATGACTGAATTATGGAATTACCCCAAATTTTCCCCACCATATAAACATGGAAATAAATATTTTCAGTTTCGAAATACTGGTTTACAAAACCAAAGCGTTATTTATGTACAGGAAACATTAAATAGTGAAGCTAAAGTATTTTTAGATCCAAATTTGTTATCAGAAGATGGCACAATTGCTTTATCTGGGGTTGATTTCTCTGAAAATGGCGCTTACTTTGCTTATGGCTTAAGCAAAAATGGCTCTGATTGGTTAGAAATTAAATGCAGGGATGTTAATACAGGAAAAGATTATGATGAAGTGTTAAAAAAGGTTAAATTTACTTCCATGTCTTGGACACATGATGATTTAGGATTTTTTTATTGTGTAAGGGATATTAAAATTAACATGTAATATTATAGTGTCTTTGGATTGTCTTTCTATAAGGTATAATGAACAAAGCATTTTTTATCCCAGCGCATATCATAGACGCAATGCCTTTATAAAACGCACTATATGGTCGTCCCTCATCATGTTGTCCATGTCGAGGTTCACCCTGTATCTCCAGAGCTTTCTTTCACTTTTGCTCTCGGATGTATAAACATCGAGAAAAATACGAAGAAATAATCTCGGCCGATTACGAAGACGTCGGAAGCGCCAAGTATTATGAACAATACTTGCGGTTTATTCTTATATCACAAAGAGTACTTGGAGCGGCCGACGTCTTCGAAGTCGGCCGAGGTTATTTCTTATATCACAAAGAGTACTTGGGACGGCCGACGTCTTCGAAGTCGGCCGAGGTTATTTCTTATATCACAGAGTACTTGGGGCGGCCGACGTCTTCGAAGTCGGCCGAGCTTATTTCTTACATCACGAAATATTCTTCGATTCTTGATAGAAATAATCTCGGCCGACTTCGAAGTCGTCGGCCGCCCGAAGTATTTTTCGTGATATAAGAAATACTCTCGGCCGACTTCGAAGACGTCGGCCGCCCTCTAATTTATCTTATAAATTTATGATATTTAAAAAATGTTGAGTTCATTAATTTATAGCGAGATAATCCAGAGACACACTATATAATAACTCATTATTGTCTTTAAAGGCATATTTAGATAAAGAAGGAAAATCAGATGGTTCAGAAACCGATAGTAATGAAAAACAGAAACTTTATTATCATAGATTAGGAACTGAGCAATCTGATGATGTCGTTGTCGTTCAATTTGAAGATCCTCAATTAAGGATGTAAACATTTTTTATAAATTTATTTAAGAATTATTAATTTTTGTTTGTAGAGGTGCACAAGTAAGTAATTGTGGGAAATATTTAATTGTAACGTCCATAAAAGGAAGTAAAAATAATTTGTTATATTTTGCCCGATTGGATAATATCGAAAAAATTTCGGGATTATTAGATTTACATCCGGTTGTAACTGAATTTGAAGCCGATTATGAAGTAATTAAATCATCTTTTCTATTTAAATCATGTTATTTATAATTTTTTTAGTATGTTGCGAATACGAAAGGAAAATTTGTGTTCCGCACAAACAAAGATGCCCCTAATTATAAATTAGTTTTGATTAACTTCGATAATTTAGATGATAAATGGGAGGATTTAATCCCCGTCCATGAAAACGACGTTTTAGATTGGGCGAAACCAGTCAATAACGACCAATTGGTTTTGTGTTACCTTCGTGATGTTAAAAACGTGATGTCTCTTCATAAGTTAGAAAGTGGCGAAAAAATGTATGATTTTCCGCTTGAATTGGGAACGATTTCTTGTTTGTCAGAAAAACATAACTCCGCCGAAATGTTTTACGGATTTTGTTCGTTTTTAAAACCTAATGTTATTTATCAAGTTGATTTAAACCAAGAACCGATTTCTCCTAAAGTAAAAGAAATCATCTTTTAGTGATACTTAATAACCGTTTTTTTTAAGATTTTTTATGAAACTAAACTGGAAAATTTTGATCCAAATAAATATGAAAGCAAACAAGTTTTTTACGAAAGCAAGGATGGAACTCAAATTCCAATGTTCATTGTTAACAAAAAAGTAACCTTTTCTTTTAATATTATTTGTTTAAACATAGAATTTTTTATTAGGGATTGATTAAAAATGGAACAAATCCGTGCCTTTTATATGGATACGGTGGTTTTAACATCACGTTAACCCCTTCATTCTCAGTTACACGGTTAATATTTATGGATTGTTTCGATGGGGTATTTGCTCTCCCAAATATTCGGGGAGGAGGTGAATACGGCGATAAATGGCATAATGGGGGTCGATTTGAAAACAAACAAAATTGTTTTGATGATTTTCAAAACGCGGCAAAGTATTTAATCGAAAATAAATACACAAGCAAAGAAAAATTGATCATACAAGGTGGATCAAATGGCGGATTGTTGGTTGCTGCTTGCATTAATCAAGCACCTCAACTTTTTGGTGCAGCTATTTGCCAAGTCGGGTAAAATACACAAAATCTTATGTAATTGTAAAAAAAATGGTTTTTAGCGTTTTAGATATGTTGCGTTACCATAAATTTACGATAGGATACGCTTGGAAAACAGATTATGGATGTTCGGATGAACCGGACCAATTTAAATATTTGTATAAATACTCACCGTTGCATAATGTACAAATTCCTGAAAACGAAGATGTCCAATATCCAGCCACTTTATTATTAACGGCCGATCATGATGATCGCGTCGTTCCCTTACATTCATTAAAATTCATCGCTGAAATTCAACGGAAAATTGGAGATTTGCCTCAACAAAAAAATCCTATTATGATTCGTGTTGAAACTAGGGCTGGACATGGTGCAGGAAAACCAACGTCTAAAATTGTAAATCTATATATTTACATATATAGTGTGTTTGATTTGTTGTCACAAAAGATATCTCGACTACTGATTAATTACTCGCCCAGTATCATGAACTATACTTAGATGTGACTTAGGACGGCCGATGTCTCTGAAGTCGGCCGAGCTTATTGCTGATATCATGAAGAGTACTTCGGCCGCCCCAAGTACTCTTCGTGATATAAGAAATAAGCTCGGCCGACTTCGAAGACGTCGGCCGCCCTAAGTTCATGATACACATCTCCAACAATAATTAAGATATCTGCTGTGACAGCTAAAATCAAACACACAGTATATTTCGATTTGTAAATTTTTCTTTATTACAGATTGATGAAGTTACCGATACATTAAGTTTTATTGCAAAGTCACTCCAATTAAAATGTCAAATTTAATAAGTTTAAGTTAATGTTAATATTTGTTTTTTATTGTCTTAGGAAAAAAAAAAGAAAAAACTTGGAAGAAATAAAGTTTATTTAACTACTTATTTTATTGTGGCAAAAAGAAACTTTTATTGATTCATTCTCAAACGTGTTTTATAACCATCGAATAAACGTAAATATTGTAAGTACTGGTTTACAAGTGAATAACAACAAAAATGGTCACAGCCATAAAAATCGGTAATTATAATAATACACAAAAATAATCTAAATATAAACAAAGAAAACTTTAAATTTATTTAAATATACAGCTATTTTTCTTACGCGTTGCATTTTCTACACTCTTAGATTATTAATAGTGATAAATCTATTTACGTTTTTTTATAAATGGGTAAATGCTTCCAAATACATCAAAACGTTGGTGTTAAAAACGATTTTTAATATATTTTTTTTAATTAGATCAAAAAAATATTTCCTATTTCAAACTATTTACAATAATCCAAACTAAAAAAAAACTATTCTCACTAAAGAACGTTTACATTTAAATATCTAATAAACACGCCAATACTGACAATAAGCTTAGCGGCTACAAAATATATATAAATATAACAAAAAAACATCCCTCTGAAAAATAAAGCTATCATTTAGGATTTTTTAGTGACTAGTACTCGCAAAATAATATAAGTTTATCAACTTGTACACATAAACGTATAGGAAATTGTTTAATATTGAACAATTACGTTTATATAATTATTTTGCTGCTTAATTTTTTTCTCGATAGTTAAATAAAAATCCTGATTGCGAATAAAGCTAAAAAATAGTTATTTTTATAGACTTTTTACACCTGGTGTCCACTGATCGATTGTATTTGCTGCTTGCGAAAACAATTTTATTGCTTTATCTCAAAATTTAAAACGAGACAGATACACATTTAATCCGTACTTACTCTTATTGAACTCGGGTATCGATCTCGTGTCAAATCGGTATCGTTCAAACATAAATCGGAATCTGAATCGATTAAGCCACTCCCGTTTCTCGCATTACCACCTTCCTATAATGTTTAGAAGTCAGATGATGCAAATTAGAGCTGAAATCGTTCATTACCTGAGTCATTTGTTCCATTGTTGTAAGTAATCGAGCGAGAGGATTACAACAAACAGGGAGAGTTTCCAATAAAGTTGGTTTTGAATGTGTTAAAAGCGGTTTCATGTAGTTTGTATCGAAACTACCCCATACACGAGCCAAAAGACCTTTCTCGTTCGGTTTTGGCATATCCCCGCCAACTACATAGTTCCATTCTTGATAATTTGGTGTTCCATTACCCTAAAAAATTTTTTGTGACATCTAGAAATAATTAAAAATTAATTTTAGTTACATTTTGAGACGCTTGATTTGATAAAGCTTCAGTTTCTTCATCAACACCTACACTAGAATCATAAAAAAGTGTTATTTAATAATTTTTATTGTTTTATTATTCTTACGGTATTTGGAACCATGAAAGCAAATGTAAAGCGGCCCCTCCCTGTATAATAACTGTGATAATAACGATTAACGACGTTGTGGTTAACATGATTTGTCGAGCTTCGGAGACGGTGTTGCGTATTGCTAAAGCAAACGACATAGCGCCGCGTAAACCAGAAAAGAACAACATGTGTTGGAAATTCGGCGAAATTTTTGGTTCACGCGCTATGTTTAACAAAAATGATAACGGATATATGTTTGCGGCTCTTCCTATCATAGCACATATCTAATATTTTTTAATTAAGGAATATTCAGAATATAAAATAAAATATTTTTAGTATTAGATAATTAAAGGATACAAATCCAGCTAAAATAAACAACGGGTCAAAATGGTGTTTGGGAAACGTGAACATCGAAACTCCAATATAGGTGAAAATAAAATTTTCCGCCAAGAAATTAAGTAATTCAAACATTTGTTTCGTACGTTGTCTCGAGTCATCAGAAAGGTTGTTGTATGTGTAATGGGCTTGACACATCCCGCAAAATAAGACAGATACTACCCCTAAAACATAATTTATTAATACAATTACAAAGTTTGTTTTAATATGTTTTACCTGTAAGCTCAGAAGCTTCGGCGATTAAAAACGTACTATAAGACATAAGTACAAAAAGTGCCGACTCTAAAAGTGGAAAATCTCTAACTCTAGTAAACTTCGTCAAGTAAAAATTTGAGTTAAGAAAAAATATGATACAAAAATGAAAAAAATTAATAGTGTTCGACCGAAACTTCGTTCACTAATAATTACGCATTTGATCGGCGTATTTAGTAATTTAGTAATCGGACGTTTATATCACAAAGAGTACTTGGTCCCAAGTATCATGAACAGTAGTTAAGCGGCCGACGTCTTGGAAGTCGGCCGAGATTATTTCTTATATTAGGAAGAATACGTGGGGCGGCCGACGTCTTTGAAGTCGGCCGAGATTATTCGGCCGCCCCAAATACTCCTTGTGATATAAAAAATAACCTCGGCCGACTTCGAAGACGTCGGCCGCCCCAAATATTCTTAGTGGTATAAGAAATAAGCTCGGCCGACTTCGAAGACGTCGGCCGTCCTAAGCATCATGAATTTAGGGCGCCCCAAGTATTCTTCCTAATATAAGAAATAATCTCGGCCGACTTCGAAGACGTCGGCCGCCCCAAATATTCTTCGTGGTATAAGAAATAATCTCGGCCGACGTCTTTGAAGTCGGCCGAGATGATCCGAATACTCTTCGTGATGTAAGAAATAAGTTCGGCCGACTTCGAAGACGTCGGCCGCCCTAAGTTCATGATAATTAGGACGGCCGACGTCTTCGAAGTCGGCCGAGCTTATTTCTTATACCACGAAGAATATTTGGGGCGGCCGACGTCTTCGAAGTCGGCCGAGATAATTTCTTATATTAGGAAGAATACTTGGGGCGGCCGACGTCTTCGAAGTCGGCCGAGATTATTTGGCCGCTCCAAATACTCCTTGTGATATAAGAAATAACCTCGGCCGACTTCGAAGACGTCGGCCGCCCTAAGTTCATGATACTTGGGACGGCCGACATCTTCGAAGTCGGCCGAGATTATTTCTTATATCACGAAGAATACTTGGGGCGGCCGACGTCTTCGAAGTCGGCCGAGATTATTTGGCCGCTCCAAATACTCCTTGTGATATAAGAAATAACCTCGGCCGACTACGAAGACGTCGGCCGCCCTAAGTTCATGATACTTGGGACGGCCGACATCTTCGAAGTCGGCCGAGATTATTTCTTATACCACGAAGAATACTTGGGGCGGCCGACGTCTTCGAAATCGGCCGAGATTATTTGGCCGCTCCAAATACTCCTTGTGATATAAGAAATAACCTCGGCCGACTACGAAGACGTCGGCCGCCCTAAGTTCATGATACTTGGGACGGCCGACATCTTCGAAGTCGGCCGAGTTTGTTTTTTCGTATTTTTCTCGATATTTATGCATCTGAGAGCAAAAGTGGAAGAGAGCAATATTGTTAAAAATAAAATTTGCTACAACTTTTGTTCTGAAAGTTTTTTTGTAGTATGCTCCGAATCCCGAGTGTTTTATCCGCAAGTATCATGAACAATATTTATAAGTAAATTCTCAAATAAAAATATTCTACAATTAATTATTGGTTTCGGTCCGACACTATAAATGAAAATCAAATATAAAAAGGATATTAATGCTGTGAAACATCCCATAACAGCTCCGATAAACAACGATAGCATAAAAATTCCGAAAAAATCGCCAACGGCTTTAAAGAACGCTATAGTTTCAAAATCTCCAGTTCCAGAATATCTTTCTCCATAATTTTGTATAGAACTATCAAAAAAAAATGATCAATAATAAATAATTTAAAAATAAAACATGAATAAATAACATACCCACTCAATACAATAGAAACAGCATCGTTTAAGACACTTTCGCCGAATACTAAGGCATAAAGGTTGACGTCGACCCGAAGATCGTGGAATATTGCCAATACTGTAAGCGGATCGGTGGAGGATATCAATGCACCGAAGTATAACGTATCTAAAAACGTGAAACTACTCGCCAAATGTGCGGGCATCAACTGGACACAGCCGTACATCAACGCCCCCACCAAAAACGAAGATACAGCGGTACCTATTATTGCGTATGTTAGTATAGCACCAAGATTGCGAAAGAAATATTTCTGAAAGTTTTTAAAAACGTTAGTTGTGGGACGCATGCAGTGAATTAATAAGCTGTAGTCATATAGTCATATTTATGTTTTGTTTTAAAACAATTTCTTACCCTTTTGAGGGAATATCCCGCGTGAAAAATGATGGGTGGTAGAATGATATTGAAAAATATTTCCGGATCAAATGTTGCTTTTAAATCTATCTCGTTATCTTGCAAGTTTATTTCTCCACGAAATGTATATTCGTAGGATTTATTCTTTAATAAACCGTTTACAGGAAATTTTAATGATAATATGTCAGGTGGAAGACTTGAATTATATTTGTCATCATTTGAAATTACTGTCATTGATAATACAGGATCTGTACTTCCTGCATAACGTATTATAGCTCCTACTATTAAACCTAAAAAAATAATTATATAAATATAACATCTTTATATCTCTACTTTTTTGTTATTATTATTATTACCATAAATAACAGCAAGTCCTGTTTCATGTAGAAAACTTACTCTACGGTGTTTAAACAACCAAATAGTCAACACTGTTAATATTAATAATATAGTATAAGACAATAAATTCAATGTATCCAAACGATGCGTTGATTGAGCTTTAGCATCTAAAACAATATCAGTTTCTGCCGCATCACAATCCAAAAGGTTTAATGCTAGGAACACTTGGAAAAAGCACAAGATACACGAAATGGTTGATTCCATGTTGTTTGTTTTGATTATTTTTTATCAAAGGCTACGATCAAAAAGCTGTTATTTATATTTATCTAAACGAAATCGACGTATTATTGTTAAATTTATTAAAATCGGTGTAGTTGTAACTGTATTTACTTGAAAAAATGTCAAAGAAACCAACTCATTTTCTTTTTTTAGACCCGCGACAGTGACAGCTTAACAACTACGACTTCTAACCAGTGGCGTATCGTAGCTTAACATCAAGGGTACAACCAGAATAAAATTATCGATAAAACTAATCTTCGAAAGTTTGATTAATCTATTGTGTAGATATTGTTTACATCGTTCTGTCTATAAACTGATTGTATCGTAATAAATGAGTCACTTGAAATGATAACGCAAATTTTTTTTTTATTACAAATTTAAAATTTGTTAAGTGTTATTTAGAAATTTAATTTTTTATTTATTTTAATATTGATTATTATAATATTATTTGATAATATTATTGTTTTTTACAATATTTTGAAACCAAGTTTTTCTTGCTTAAAATTTATGGAACTTGAATACTTGAGAATATTTTTTATATCACGAAAAATACTTGGGGCGGCCGACGTCTTCGAAGATTTCGTTCTAAAAATTTTTTTGAAGTATGCTCCGATTCCTGAGTGTTTTATCTCCAAGTATCATGAATAATATTTAGGACGACCGAATGTATGTATTAAATAAATAAATTCTCAAATAAAAATATTCTGCAATTAAAAAATTTGAGAAATACTTGCCCTAAGTATTGTTTATGATACTTGGGGCGGCAACAAGATTTTTATTACATCTATTATTTTAATTAATGCGATGTTGAGGGTTGCTGCTTAAAGCATAGATTAAAGCAAAATAAAACAAGGACTATTAATAAATAATAAATAAAATATTGCATAAATCTAAAATGAAAAAAATCCTCTTAGATAACAGTTATAAATAAATAAATTTATTTAGTTATCATAATTAAAGTTTTTAGAAAAAATAATTATTTTGCTTTAATTTTGAAATAGACGAAATTAAAGGTCAACTAAGAAAGATATCTTTTACCAAAATAGATGCATTAATTGCTTTTCTTATCATTTCCGCGACTCTTATTTATTTTCTATTTATTTTGCATTTATTTTCAAAACAGTCGTTTAGGAATAATAAACCGTAAATTGTGTTCAGTGTTGAAATAGATTTAATATTGATGATTCTAAAATGATGAACTTCTTAAAATTTGGTTCCAATAGGAACGAAAATTCTATGCCAATGTACGAAAATTTAATTCAAACATTTTTTATTATTATTTTATTTTATTTTGTAGTAAAAATGAAATTCGATTATATGTTCACGATGAACTCCATATCGGTAAGATTTTTTCATTCCCATAGGGTGTAATAATAAAATTAATTTTCAGTCAAAACAGATAATTTTTCTCCTAGCACTTCTTTAAATACTTATTTAAGGAAACAATCAAATTTAACCGGAACGAAAGTGATGTGTAGAGAAGGTGGTTGTGGTTGTTGTGTTGTTACGGCTATTATCAAACATCCAGTTACAACGAAAGAAGTTGTATTAGCTGTTAATTCTGTAAGATTATTAATTTATACAATATGTTACTTAATTATCGCACCAGTATACAACCAATATCACAGTATTGGTATTGCAATACGCGATTTGTGTATTCAGATATATTCAGTGTGATATTGGTTGCATACTTGCAATGTTGTATAACTGCATATATTATTATATAATTTTTTTAATTTTAAAATAGTGTTTAGTGTCAATATTTTCATGTGAAGGTTGGAGAATAGTAACAATAGAAGGTTTAAAAGATAGCAAAGGAAATTATAACGCAATACAAGAAGCTTTAGTAAAATATAACGGGACGCAATGTGGATTTTGTACACCGGGTATGATTATGTCAGCTTATGCAGCATTGCAAAATCCAAATTTAACCAAAGCTGATATGGAAAATTCTTTGGGAGGTAATCTTTGTCGTTGTACCGGTTATAGGCCGATTTTAGAAGCATTCAAATCTTTATCTAAACTGGAAAATGATTTGCCATGTAAGGCGCATGACATCGAAGATATGCCGAGTTGTCCGTTAAAAGACGAACTTAACGATTGGACTCAATTATTTCCCTTAAACACAACACCGTTTGGATTAGAATTGAGCGAATCATCTTGGTACAAAGTCTTCACGATTAAGGAGATCTTCGAATTATTCGCCAAATATCCACAAGCTACTTATCAATTAGTTGGGGGAAATACCGCGAAAGGTGTTTATAGAACCGCTGATAAAGAGCTATACATAGACATTTCTGGAGTGAAAGAACTGCGCTTGACGAGAGTAGCAACTATTGGAGCTGGAACAACATTGAATGAGTTAAAAGATTTTTTTAGATCAACTGCAAAGTCGAAGTCTTTTGGCTATATGAATAAACTTGCTGATCATGTTGATTTAGTAGCTACTGATCCGATCAGAAATGTAAGTTATATATAAATACTTTTTGCTTCATCATAAAAATATATTTTTTTTAGATTGGAACTATTGCAGGAAATCTTTCGATTAAATATGAACATAATGAATTTCCATCAGATATTTTTCTTATTTTAGAAGGTGTAGGTGCCACACTCAATATAGTATCCAAAGATAAAACACAAACAGTAACTTTAGTCGACTACCTAAAAATGGATATGAAACAGAAAGTAATAAAGGAGATAACATTTCCACCATTGAATACATCATATCTCTTCGACAGTTATAAAATTATGCCACGTGCTCAAAACGCACATGCAATGGTAAACGCAGCATTTCTACTTCAGCTTAATGGAAATTCAGTTGTTGAAAACGCAAGAATTGTGTATGGTGGGATAAATCCAAAATTTATTCACGCAACAAAATTGGAATCTACTATTAAAAACAAAAAACTATTTGATGATGCCTTCTTGCAATCGTGTTACAAAACTTTAGATGATGAATTAAATCCGGATTACGTATTACCAGATCCCAAACCAGAATTTCGTAAAGGTTTAGCAATTGCCCTTTTTTACAAATATGTTTTGAGTATAGCCCCTCAATATATGGTAAATGAAAGGTACTATTCTGGTGGAAAAAAGTTGGTGAGGCCTATTTCAACTGCAACTCAAGATATTTTGAACCCACAAAAAGATATTTATCCTATAACAGAAGCTATTTCGAAATTAGAAGCGAAAGCTCAGGCTTCAGGTGCTGCCAAATACGTTATGGATTATCCTGACGAACCTAGACAGGCGTTTGCTGCTTTAGTTCTTGCCAAAGCAGCACCTTATTCAACCTTTGATGCCATTGATACTTCTAAAGCATCGGTAATAAAAAAATACTTTTTGTTTTATTGTTAAAAATCTTTCGTTTTAGAAAGTTAAAGGATTTTTAGGATTTTATTCATCAAAAGATATTCCTGGTAACAATTTTTTTACTAGCTTTCTGCCAAAGCAAGAAAAAATATTTGCGGATAAAATGATAGAATATTATTCACAACCTGTTGGTATGGTGTTAGGCACTACTCAAGAAATAGCGGAACGTGCTGCTGATTTGGTAACTGTACAATACACCAAGCCAACGAAAAAACCCTTATTGACAATACCAGATATAATTAAAAAGAATGATACGACAAAAATAGTAATAGATAGCAAAGTTGACAGAAAAACTAAAGGAAATGATATTAAACGTGAAATAAAAGGTAATTATCTTTCTTCATTACAATATCATTTTCATATGGAAACGCATAGTTGTAATGTAATTCCGGTTGAGGATGGTTTAGATGTATTCCCTACAACTCAATGGATTGATATTGTACAACATGCGATTTCTGATAGTTGTAAAATTCCAGCAAATAAGATTAATGTGCATGTTAGACGTTGTGGGGGTGGATACGGTGGAAAAATAACTCGAAATGCGATGTTTTCATGTTACGCAGCTCTTGGGGCGCATTTAGAAAAGCGGCCAACTAAAATTTGGATTCCGTTTGAAACAAATATGACAGCAGTCGGGAAGAGAATACCATGTTATGCAACATATGAAGTTGGGGTTAACGATAAAGGTGTTATCCAATATTTAGACATAGTTGTATACGCGGATTATAGCACTTGTGGAAATGAACCAATAATAAATGTTTTAATTCCAATGGTTTTGAATGGATATAAAACCGATCCGATTGATATTACATCCTATCATACATTAACTGACACGGCAGGAAATATAAGCTGTAGGGCACCAGGCACCACTGAAGGACTTGGTTTAATTGAAACTGTCATGGAACATATTTCTTATGAACTCAAACTTGATCCCATCGATGTACGATTAGCGAATTGGGATGACAAAACTCACCCAAAAGTATTAGAATTTATTAAACAATTTTTAATCGATGCCGATATTAAGGAGCGAATGAAAAACATTGAAGAATTTAACAAAAATAATAGGTGGAGGAAAAAAGGTTTATCCACAGTAACGATGGCCTATCACTACGAACTTTTTGGCGATTGGAATGTGATGATATCCGTTTATCACGTTGATGGAACTGTGGCTGTTTCACACGCGGGTATCGAAATTGGACAAGGAATAAATACTAAGGTATAAAACAATAAAATTACATAACAATAATAAAAAAAATTTTGTCTAAATTAGGTAGCTCAAGTTTGTGCTTATTGCCTTGGAGTTCCTTTAGACGCAATTCAAGTAAAACCATCTAATAATATGACATCTCCGAACTGTATAGCAACTGGTGGTAGTGCCACTAGTGAATCAGTTTGCCACGTGGGTAATTTTGAATCAATTAAAAATGTTTTGTTATCATAATTATTTTTAGGCCGTTATTAAAGCAGCGGAGATTCTTACAAATCGTATGAAACCGGTGAAAGAAAAAATAAAAGATCCCACTTGGTTAAAGATCGTGCAAGAATGCTACAATCAAAGCATTCCATTATATGCTACATATTCGTAAATAAATTTGAAACAAAAAAATTCTTTTACATTTAAATATTTTTAGATTCAACACAAAAGAAGTGCAACCTTATGTTATTTATGGAATATGTGCCGCTGAAGTAGAAGTAGACATTCTAACAGGTAATCATATTACAACTCGCGTGGATATTCTCGAAGATGTCGGGGATAGTATGAACCCCGCTGTGGATATTGGCCAAGTCGAAGGAGCTTTTGTGATGGGTATGGGTCTTTGGACAACTGAAGAAATCATTATGGACCAAACCGGTGAAGTCAAAACAAACAGGACTTGGAATTACAAAATACCCGGGGCTAAAGATATTCCAGTTGATTTTCGGGTCAAATTTCCCAAAAATAATGCAAATCCCGTTGGAATTTTTAAGTCAAAAGGTATTCAAAAAACTAAAAATAAATAAGTAAATAAATAAATAAAAAATTTTAGCGGTCGGTGAGCCTCCTTTATGTATGGCATGTGTAATTCCATTTGCTATACGACAAGCTTTAGATTCTGCTAGGAAAGAGTCAAAAACAAAAGAGTCATCGTGGATCCCTATGAGTACGACCAAATTTTTTTTATTTTAATGTTTTTAAAATATTATTTTTTTTTAGATGGTCCCACAACTGTTGAAGCTACCTTTATGAATAGTTTAAATGATTATACGCAATATAAATTAAATTAATGTTGATTTTTATTAATTGGGGATTGAAATATTTAAAAAAAATAAATGAAAACAAAAAAGTGTGGTTTAATTTAACCTCCATCTTCTTAATGGTTTCATACCAAGAGCTAAGATATGTAATTGTAGCTTTTGATAGTTTTATGTCTAGAAAATATCAAATAACTGCTTGGATTCTTGCGTTCGTGATAGAGTTCCAGAACTTAGCTCATTTTTTAATTGTGTCTCACTCTCCTTCTTATTGTTTCTATTTCTATGGATGCAAAGATGGAAGACTGGAATATATCTTGGAGAAGCTAGAGTCGGGCGAGGAGAATCTGTGAGAGAGTGAGGATGAGGATGACTTGATTTAGGTTAGGCCAAGTGTACTCTTTCCAACGAACCAACCCGTTTTGAAAAATAACTTTTAGTTTTTGAGAAAACAATATTTGAAGTTTTGATAGTTTGCAATTTTCATCGATAATTTTCAAAATTCGCTATAAAATTAATTTCTTGAAGGATCCTTGTGGAAATATCACCAATTATTAATTAAAGTATCCTCTTTTTAATGCAAAAAGCCGTTTTGAAAAATCACTTTTAGTTCTTGAGAAATAAATTTTTGAAATGATCGACAATTTTTTCGAATTTTGCAATTTTCGCCGATTAAGTTTTAAAAATTCGTATAAAATCCATTTCTTGGAATATGAGTATGAAAATTTCCCAAAGTGTTAATAAAAGTGTCCTCTTTCCAATGAACCAACCCGTTTTGAAAAATAACTTTTAGTTTTTGAGAAAACAATATTTGAAGTTTTGATAAAATTTTCGATGTTGCAATTTTCATCGATAATTTTCAAAATTCGGTATAAAATTAATTTCTTGAAGGATCCTTGTGGAAATATCACCAATTATTAATTAAAGTATAAAAAAATTTTTTATTTATATATTATTTAGTTTTCCAAATGATTTTTTGTAATGTAATAAAAAATCTTGTTTATAAAAGACCTTGAATTTTTACGTGATCTTTTATTAGATGGTCGAGACGACCTTTATGAACAATTTAAATGATTATACGCAATATAAACAATCTTAATTAACAATTAATAAATTGTTTTATTAAAATAAATGAAATTTATAAAAAAAAAATTATTTTAATCTTTTTAAGCCAAATTTTATAACGCAACTTTTGTTTTTTTTTATTTTATTGAACATCTGAAGGTGAAAGTAGGTAATTTAATAATTGAATCCGCGCAGTAAACCATTGAGCGTAAAGTTTGAGTGAACGGCAGTAGCAGAATGAATTTCTTGAGATTCGGTGTAAATTGGAACAAAACTTCAATCGAAATGTAAGAATTTTTTAATTAAAACCTAAATAATTTTCAAATTATTATTTTTTTAGCAAAAATGAAGTTAAATTTTACATCCACGATGACCTTCACATCGGTAAGAACAACGAGAACACGAAATAATTATTATTCATTCATTTTTTTTAGTTAAATCATCTGATTATGCCCCTCACACATCTCTAAACAGTTATTTAAGAAATGTATCTAATTTGACGGGTACAAAAGTGATGTGTAAAGAGGGTGGTTGTGGATGTTGCGTTGTTACAGCGATAATTAAACACCCAGTTACTGGTAAAAATGAAACTTTAGCCATCAACTCAGTAAGGAATTAATTAAATAGATAATTACAATTTTTAAAAAATTTTTAAAATAGTGTTTGGTGTCGATATTTTCTTGTGATAATTGGAGAATTGTAACGGTGGAAGGGTTAAAAGATACTTCAGGAACACCTAGTAAAATTCAAGATACTTTAGTTAAATATAACGGGACTCAATGTGGATTTTGTACATCTGGAATGGTGATGTCGATGTATGCGTTATCTAAGAATCCAAATTTGACCAAAAGCAACGTTGAGGATGCTTTAGGAGGAAACCTTTGCCGCTGCACAGGATATAGACCAATTTTAGAAGCGTTTAAATCTTTAACTCCTCAAATAGAAAATAAAACAACCTGTTATAATCATGATATTGAAGATGTGCCAAGTTGCCCCCTCAAAGACGAACTTAAAGATTTCACGCAATTATTTCATTCGAATTTAGCCCCATTTGGGTTGGAATTTTCAAATTCTAAATGGTATAAAGTGGTTAATATGGCACAAATTTTTGAATTATTTGAAAAATACCCAGAAGCTTCGTATAAATTAGTCGGGGGAAATACGGCGAAAGGAGTTTATAGAGATGTTGATAAAGATTTATATATAGAAATAGCTGGTGCAAAAGATTTACGTTCAAACACTATATCAGAAAGTCTTGTTACAATAGGAGCTGGCACATCATTAAACGAGTTAAAAACAATTTTTAGAACAACTTCTCAATTGCATAAATCTTTTAGTTATTTAGATGTACTCGCAGATCATATTGATTTAATAGCCAGTGAACCCATCAGAAATGTATGCTTCTTATTATATTAATCATATTTATTTTATTAATTTTTTTTAATTTAGATAGGAACAATTGCAGGAAATCTTTCCATTAAACATGAACACAACGAATTCCCATCAGATATATTTCTCATTTTAGAAACTGTCGGTGCAACAATCACCTTAAGTAAATAAATCAAAACTAAAAAATCAAAATATATAAAAATTTTTCTTTTTAGCGTCAAAAAATAAAACAGAAAAAATCGATTTATTAACTTACTTAAAAACGGATATGAAGCACAAAATAATAAAGGAAATTATATTACCACCATTAAATTCGTCACATCTCTTCAACAGCTACAAAGTAAAAAATTTTTGAAATCACCACTTCATTTAACATAATAATAATTTTTTTAGATCATGCCACGTGCTCAAAATGCACACGCAATAGTAAACGCAGCATTTTTAGTCCAACTCGATGAAAATTCAATTGTTGAATCTGCAAGGGTTGCGTATGGTGGGATAAATCCAACATTTATTCACGCAACAAAATTGGAAGCTATCGTTAAAGACAAAAAGCTATTTGATAACGACTCATTGCAACTCTGTTACAAAACTTTGGATGAAGAATTAAAACCGGATTATGTATTACCAGACCCCAAACCTGAATTTCGTAAAGGTTTGGCGATTGCTCTTTTTTACAAGTTTGTTTTAAGCGTTGCCCCTTCGTTTATTGTTGCTCCCCAAATGATTTCTGGTGGGAAAAAGTTAATACGACCCCTTTCAAAGGGAACGCAGGATATTTTAAATCCTAACAAGAATATTTACCCCATTACTAAAGCTATTTCTAAATTAGAAGCGATGGCCCAAGCTACCGGGGTTGCTAAATATGTTATTGATTATCCTGATGAACCTGGACAACATTTTGTTGCTTTAGTTCTTGCTAAAGCAGCACCTTACTCGACTATAGAGAAGATTGATTTTTCTGAAGCATCGGTAATTAATTAAATTAATTTTGTCTTAGCTTCTTCAATATATTTCTTTTTGCTTTTAGAAACTTAAAGGATTCGTATCATTTTATACAACAAAAGATATTCCTGGTAATAATAATTTTACAGCTTACTTACCAATCAAAGAAAAATTATTTGCCGATAAAACGATAGAGTATTACTCACAACCGGTTGGTATGGTGGTAGCAACCTCTCAAGAAGTAGCAGAACTTGCATCTGACTTGGTAAAAGTAACATATAAAGCGGCAACGAAAAAGCCTTTATTGACGATAAAAGATATTATTAAAAATAACGTTAAAGATAAAATTGTGGCTGATGCCACTCATGGCAGAAAATCGAAAGGAAACGATATTAAACATGTAATTAAAGGAAATTATCTTTCTTCATTACAATATCATTTTCATATGGAAACGCATAGTTGTAATGTAATTCCGGTTGAGGATGGTTTAGATGTATTCCCTACAACTCAATGGATTGATATTGTACAACATGCGATTTCTGATAGTTGTAAAATTCCAGCAAATAAGATTAATGTGCATGTTAGACGTTGTGGGGGTGGATACGGTGGAAAAATAACTCGAAATGCGATGTTTTCATGTTACGCAGCTCTTGGGGCGCATTTAGAAAAGCGGCCAACTAAAATTTGGATTCCGTTTGAAACAAATATGACAGCAGTCGGGAAGAGAATACCATGTTATGCAACATATGAAGTTGGGGTTAACGATAAAGGTGTTATCCAATATTTAGACATAGTTGTATACGCGGATTATAGCACTTGTGGAAATGAACCAATAATAAATGTTTTAATTCCAATGGTTTTGAATGGATATAAAACCGATCCGATTGATATTACATCCTATCATACATTAACTGACACGGCAGGAAATATAAGCTGTAGGGCACCAGGCACCACTGAAGGACTTGGTTTAATTGAAACTGTCATGGAACATATTTCTTATGAACTCAAACTTGATCCCATCGATGTACGATTAGCGAATTGGGATGACAAAACTCACCCAAAAGTATTAGAATTTATTAAACAATTTTTAATCGATGCCGATATTAAGGAGCGAATGAAAAACATTGAAGAATTTAACAAAAATAATAGGTGGAGGAAAAAAGGTTTATCCACAGTAACGATGGCCTATCACTACGAACTTTTTGGCGATTGGAATGTGATGATATCCGTTTATCACGTTGATGGAACTGTGGCTGTTTCACACGCGGGTATCGAAATTGGACAAGGAATAAATACTAAGGTATAAAACAATAAAATTACATAACAATAATAAAAAAAATTTTGTCTAAATTAGGTAGCTCAAGTTTGTGCTTATTGCCTTGGAGTTCCTTTAGACGCAATTCAAGTAAAACCATCTAATAATATGACATCTCCGAACTGTATAGCAACTGGTGGTAGTGCCACTAGTGAATCAGTTTGCCACGTGGGTAATTTTGAATCAATTAAAAATGTTTTGTTATCATAATTATTTTTAGGCCGTTATTAAAGCAGCGGAGATTCTTACAAATCGTATGAAACCGGTGAAAGAAAAAATAAAAGATCCCACTTGGTTAAAGATCGTGCAAGAATGCTACAATCAAAGCATTCCATTATATGCTACATATTCGTAAATAAATTTGAAACAAAAAAATTCTTTTACATTTAAATATTTTTAGATTCAACACAAAAGAAGTGCAACCTTATGTTATTTATGGAATATGTGCCGCTGAAGTAGAAGTAGACATTCTAACAGGTAATCATATTACAACTCGCGTGGATATTCTCGAAGATGTCGGGGATAGTATGAACCCCGCTGTGGATATTGGCCAAGTCGAAGGAGCTTTTGTGATGGGTATGGGTCTTTGGACAACTGAAGAAATCATTATGGACCAAACCGGTGAAGTCAAAACAAACAGGACTTGGAATTACAAAATACCCGGGGCTAAAGATATTCCAGTTGATTTTCATGTAAAATTTCCCAAAAATAATGCTAACCCGGTCGGAGTTTTTAAATCAAAAGGTACCCAAAAAATTAATACATAACGAAATCTTACAACAAAATTTTAGCCGTTGGTGAGCCTCCATTATGTATGTCATGTGCAATACCCTTTGCTATACGACGAGCTTTATCTTCAGCTAGAAAAGATGCAAACTCAAAAGAACCATCGTGGGTTCCCATGGGTACGAAAATGAAAATTCTCATTTAAGTGTTATTAAAATATTATTTTTTTAGATGGCCCCACAACTGTTGAAGTAACCTTTATGAACAGTTTAAATGATTATTCACAATATAAAATAAATTAGTTTGTACTATTTTGATGTAATTTAACTTCTTAATGGTGCGTGGGAGTCTGGATTTTTTAGATTATGTTAGCCTAATTAAACAAATTATATGTAATATCCCAAAGCATGTCGTTTCAAATATAATAATATTATTCTTTTCCACTTCTTATCATGATGTGGCTAAAATAGAAAATTAAATTTAGTAGTGCCCTCTATCGTAGAATGGATCTTAACAAAAACTATTTCACCTGACTTCACATACCCTTAATTTTAATGACATTGAAATGTCCTTAGTAAATTGTGAACTTCCCTAAGGTTAGAATTAATTATAGCTAAATGTAACAACAAAACAACCTTTAAGTAATACTAAAAAGGAAAGAAATTGAAAATGAAAACTGTTTTAATTTCTCCTTCATCTCCTTAATGTCAATGACCGTGACCTTAATAAATTTGAATCTTCGCTAACCTTATAATTAATTAAAACCAGTTATGGTATGAACTTAATTCTGAATAAACAGTATTGATGCGGCATGTTTTAGGTCTTGATCGGCATTCTCAGACTGTTTTAAAAATAATATACAACAATTAGGCAACCATTAATTAATTTTAAAGAAATAACGGAATAAGTAAGCACCTGTCAGTAACTAGAATACAGATAAGATAGGAAGACATCAAAATGGGCTTATTCTTTGCAAAATGTACCTCCACAGCAAGATTAGATGGAAAAACTGTTATAATAACAGGCGCAAATACCGGAATTGGTAAAGTAACCGCTTTAGATTTATTTAAAAGAGGTATTTATTAAAAATATATTTGATTTTAGTTGTCACAACAGATATATTGATTATTGTTGGAGATAAATATTATAGAATATAAGTTACTAAACATTAAATTTAATATTCTATTATCTGCTATATTAATTCATCAAATTTTCTTATTTTTCTCAATATTTATTATATAACATTTTGTAATATCTCTAACAATACTCAAGATATCTATTGTAACAACTAAAATCAAACACACTATATAAATTATATCAATTTTAACAATATTCTTGTAGGTGCAAATGTAATCATGGCTTGCAGAAATTTAGAAAAAGGCGAAACAGCTTTAAAAGATATCAAAAATTCGTGTAAAGATGTTAATTCTAACTTGGGAACGTTAGAGTTGGCAGAATTGAATTTGGCAAGTTTAAAATCTGTCAGAAATTGTGCTGGATTTTTATTAAAATGTGACAAAATAGATATTTTAATCAACAACGCAGGCGTAATGTGTTGTCCCTATGAAAAAACGGAAGATGGAAACGAAATGCAATTGCAAACGAATCATTTGGGACATTTTTTGTTCACACTATTATTATTGCCAAAAATATTAGAAAGCGAATCGGCGCGAATTATTAATGTTTCATCCGTAGCGCATACACGTGATGATTCAACAATTTTTTAAGATTAAAAAGATTATTTTGTTATTTTTTAGGAGGTACAATAGATTTTAATGACCTTAACTTTGAAAAGAAACCGTATAAAGCATTGAAAGCGTATCAGCAAAGCAAATTATGCAACATTTTGTTTACCACGGAGTTGTCACGTCGATTAGCAGCGAAAAATATTTTTCAAATAACTACGTATAGCTTACACCCAGGCGTGATAACAACCGAGTTGGGAAGGCATTTAGATGACGTGTATTTCAGAGGATTGCGATGGATTTGGAGGTCAATTATGTGGGTATTTTTAAAATCACCTGAACAAGGTGCCCAAACTACAATATATTGCGCAGTTGATGAAGAAATTGCCAAAGAAACGGGATTGTATTATTCAGATTGTAAACGAAAAAAACCGGCAATGCAAGCAAGAAATTTAGATGATGCCAAAAAACTTTGGGAAGTTAGTTTAAAAATGGTTGGATTGGAAAATGTGAATATTTAAATTAAAAGCTTATTTTTAATTTTTCAAAATCTTTTAATTACAAAAACTTATTGAGGTCTACACTTATTTTAAATCCACAAGAACAATAAAAATACAAAAACGAAAAATAGTTTCCCACTCAGAAACTTTCGCAGATTTCTATCTTCCTCTCTTACAACTCAGTCTTCTCCTTCTTTTCATTTCCTTTCCTATCGAATCCTTTCAGTTCTTTAGTTGCTTGTTTAGCGATATATTTGACGAAATCTTCCAAGTCCCGTCCACCTTCATATCGGATTGGTTTATCTTTAGAGTCTTTAGGAACCCAATATAAAGTTGGAAAACCTCTAACTTCAAACGTTGGTGGAACGTCATTTGCTGTTGCGTCCATTTTTACAATGGAAACATCTTCGTTCTTTAATTTCTCACCCAATTCATCGAAAGTTGGAGCTAATTTTTTGCAATGTCCACACCATGGCGCGTAGAATTCGATTAAGGTGTCTTTTCCATTGTTGGTGACGACGTCGTCAAAGTTCTTAGCAACTGCAACAACAACCGGGCCATCATTTGATTCTGGGATCTCTTCAGATTTCAAATAAGGTTCTAATTTTCCATCTAAGAGGTCGTTTGCGAAACCTTCGAGTGCATCAACGGAGAATTCTTCTTTCATTATGAATTTTTGATTTTTGGCGTCTCTTGCAAGAATTGTTGGCTTATCACCCTTAACGAAATCGATTCCATATTCGTTTAATTCGTGTTGGAATTCGTCTTTAGCGCTAATTGCAAACGTGGCACGACCACTAAATAATTTAGCGACCTTTAAAATCCTATTTCGCCAATAATTAGTTCCTTTGGCGTTCTTAACATAATCAACTGCATAATAAGCAGTAATTAATGGGTTGTTGAAATTTTGTTTGTTGTCGTTTTTGCGATGTCCAGCTAAACCGTGGTAATTGCTGGTAATAAAATTATGGAGGTCAACTGTTAAAGCTTCTCCGGTGTATTTAATCATATCTTCTTCAAATTTGTTAGCTAGGTGAGGTGGTCTAAATAGGATAATGCCGTCGGTGACGCCGTATTTATCCATGACTTCTTTGTGGGTGCTGTGGCCAAATCTTAATTTCTCGCGTTCTTTATCAGCTAATTTGAAGAAAGTTGATTTTAGGTCTGATTCTTTTTCGAAAAGTCCAATTATTGAAACGTCCATATCAGCAACAAGGAATTTCTCCAAAGCAGAGAGATCTTTAAGTTCTTTCGAGCTGGGTCCAACTTGAGCTTTCATGTATTTAACAATACCTGAAGCATCACGAGGGCCATTATATTCTTGGGACATTTCACCATTTCGGAAGATTTTTAAAGTGGGATAACCGCTAACGCTGAATTTGTTGCAAGTCTCTTTTCCAGCTTCTGTACAATCGACTTTAGCCAATATAACAGGAGGATCATTTCGAATCAAATCTTCGGCAGCCTTTTCATATTCAGGTTTTAATCTCTTACAATGACCACACCTTTAAAAACAACCATGCAGATTTATACCTTTATCAAATTCTTACAACAATACTTACCAAGGGGCATAAAACATGACTAAGACAGTGTCGTGTTCGGACACTTTCGACGAAAAATCATCGTCGCCGTATTCGGCGACATCTTTCTCCCCAGCCCAAATACACGTTACAATAAAGAAGAACGCAAATAGTTTTAACCACATCTTGTTGGTTTTATTTTCGAATTTACTTCAAACTTACTTCACAGACTTTTAGCAACTAACCGGTCTTTTTGATTCTCCTATCACGCTACCCGATTGTACGTGGCTATTAAATGCTCATGCGCTGGACTTTGTGTTGGCCAATTTTGATTGGTTGAAAAATATCTAATTTATACTGCCATCTTCATGATTTTCTCGGAGTTATAATAATGATTTTGGTGTTGATTACTAGATGGCATAATCAAAATTTACTTATTAAAAAAAACCTTTTTGTTAATAATAAGTGTGGATATATATATATATGTGTCCACAATATAAATCAATATTTTAATAAGTAATAATACGAACTACATTCACAGGACTGATAGAATCGATTGATTATTATTTGAATGATAATAATATTAATAATTATATATAGTAACGTTCTTTTTGTTTTGTACATGTCGTGTGCACAGCATGCTACAGCCACTTCCCCTCCTATAAAGATTAATAAAAAGAGGAATATGGTGGTTAAAAAAAAAGAAATCATATTTAAAAATTGAAAGTAACTTTTTTTTGAATTTTTATATTATGAGAATTGATTGCCTCGCTGTGGTGACATGTTGAATTTTCTTTTAAAAGAAATGCTGGTTTAAGGTTGTTGATGTTAACAGCTACTTCCTTGTTATTTTTGAAAATTACAAAATATTTCGGAAATGTTTTTATCACTTTAAATGGGCCTTCATATCTTGGTGTTAAAGAGGGTTGAATCCCATTAATTTTGACAAAAACAAATTTTGAAATGAATAAATCTTTATGAATAAATGGTTTTTGGTTGGAATGAAAAACTGTGTTTACTGGTTTCAAACAAGAGAATGTTTCTCGTAAACTAGATAGCAATGGATCAGATTCCAAAGGGTGTTGAATATTAACAAAAAATTCTCCTGGAAGCCTAAGTGGTTGACCGTATACAAGTTCGGCAGATGAACAACCTAGGTCTTCCTTAAGAGATGATCTGAGGCCTAGGAGAACCAAGGGAAGATCATTGTTCCACCTCGTAGTGTTACCTCTGGCAGTTATGGCTGTTTTTAAAGAACGGTGAAACCTTTCTAAAATTCCGTTGCTTTGGGGATGGAAGGTGGATGTATGAATTTGACGTGTTCCTAGAAGGGTGTGAAATTTTGAAAAGAGTTTTGATTCGAATTGTCGTCCCTGATCATGGGTTATAGTGCTAGGAATGCCAAATCGGCTGAAATAATGCCGAAACAAAGTATCCGCAATAGAAGAAGAACCAATATCTTTGAGAGGAAAAGCTTCTGGCCAACGCGTGAAACGATCTATTACGGTGAGCACATATGTGCAGCCAAGGGACGGAGTGAGAGGACCGACCAAATCAATGTGGATATGATCGAATCTTAATTTTGGTATCGGAATTTTACTAATAGGTGATTTTGTGTACTTTTGAACTTTTGTTTGTTGACATCGCAAACAGGTTTTTGTCCATAACTGAATGTGTTTTGTCATGTGAGGCCAAAAGAATCGTGTTTTGATGATGTGTGTAGTAGCGCGAATACCAGGATGTGTTAAGTTGTGAAATTTGTTGAAAATTGTTTTACGAAATTTTTGTGGTATGTATGTTCGAGGATTGTTTGTTGAAATGTCGCACCAAAGCTTTACATCTGAATGTGATGTTGTTTGTTGCGATAGGTTATATTTAGTAGTTTGTGTCTTTGAGTATTGTTTGTTTAGTAAATGTGTTAATTCTGTATCGTTAAATTGCGCGTTTTTTAAGGTTTGTGTGTCAGGGTACTGTGAATTTAGAGAATCAATATTTGTTCTGGACAACGTGTCCGCTACAATGTTTGATTCTCCTGTAATGTACCTGATATCTGATGTGAATTGTGTTATGTAAGTAAGATATCGTGTCTGACGTGGAGTTTTTTCTGTGTTAGAAAAAATTGTGTTGATTAGAGGTTTGTGGTCAGTGTAAACTACAAATTGATGTCCATGTAAAAAATGTTTAAAGAATTTGATACTAGTGTAAATTGCTAACAATTCTCTATCAAAAGTTGAATAATTTATTTGGCTTGAAGATAATTTTTGAGAAAAAAATGCTAAAGGTTGTGTTTTATTGTCTATAGTCTGTGATAAAACTGCTCCTATACCTTTACTTGAGGCGTCTGTCGTCAGTGAAAGAGTTGCTTGTGGTGATGGGTGTGCAAGAGTGACGGATTTTGATAAAAGTTCTTTGGCTGTAGTGAAAGAAATGTCGTGATGGTGTGTCCAAGAAGTGATTGATTTAAGTTTTTGTGAATAAAGTGTTTTTGATAAATGATGTAAAGGAGCTAAAATGTTTGAGATGTTTGGTAAAAATCTGTGATAAAAATTTATCATTCCTAAGAATCGCTGTAATTGTTTTAGTGTGGTTGGTTTTGGAAATTCAGTTATGGCATTAACCTTAGATTGCGAAGGGCGAACGCCTTCAGCAGAAATTTGATGACTTAGGAAATTTAAATCTGTAACTCCAAAAACACATTTTGTTGGTTGTATATTAATATTACAAGAGCTTAACCTCTCAAACAATTGTTGTAAATGAAGATAATGTTCTTCTTCATTGCGACTGGCTACTAGAATATCATCTAGATATACGAATAGGAAATCTAAGCCAGATAGAACTTCGTTTATGAATCTTTGAAAGGTTTGTGCCGCATTACGTAAACCGAAAGGCATTCTCGTGAATTCGAACAGACCAAACGGTGTAGTGATAGCCGTTTTAGGAATATCGTCTTCTTCTACAGGAATTTGGTGATAAGCTCGTACCAGATCTAATTTTGAAAAAATTTTGCAATTGTGTAAATGTAAGTTAAAATCTTGAATGTGCGGAAGAGGATAACGATCTGGAACTGTGATGTTGTTGAGTTGTCGGTAGTCTCCACATGGTCTCCAATCGTTGGAATCTTTCTTAGGAACCATGTGAAGAGGCGACGCTGTAGAAGAAGAAGAGGGTCGGCAGATTCCTAATGCCACCATTTGTTCGAATTCTTTCTTTGCGATGTTGTGTTTGTGCACGTCTAAACGTCGGGGACGACAAAACGGTAAGTGTGAGTTGGTAACAATTCTGTGTCGAGTGTTATGTCCAACTGGTTTTGTAAAGTCCGGTGTAGACGTTAATTTTGGAAATTTTTTTAAGAGTGTTGTATATTTGGTTTCAAAAGAAAAAATTTTGGGAGTTGGAATAGTATTTTTGACAATGGAACCAATTGAAAACAAATTGGTTTTCGAATCTACCAATCGCTTCTTTTTTATATCCACCAAGATACCAAATGCATGAAGGAAATCCGCACCAATGATTGGTTTACTAACATTAGCTATAGTAAATACGAATGGGAAATTCCTTCTTAGATTTAATGAAATTGTAAGCATTTTTTTACCGTATGTAGTAATTGTAGTACCATTAGCGGCAGAAAGGTTTGAGTTGGTATCTTGGTTACGTTTCGGATATAATTTGTGAGGTAGAACCGAAATGTCAGCTCCAGTGTCAATTAAAAAATTTAGGTTATTTTGATTGTCAAAAATGAAAAGTCGCGAACTGACAGAATTTACCGTAAATTGAGGTTGACTTTTTGTCAAAATTTTGAATTTGGAAAAATTTTGTTTTTCTTTTGAAACCTTTATTAGTTTTTTGATGTCGATGGAAAATTTTTGTTTTTGTCGGTGAAGGAATTATAAAATTTGCAATATGTTCCTCCACATTTAACCGCGTTGTCTCCAAATTTACGGTGATACCAACAAATAGTCGAATAACTCGTAGAATTAGATCTATTCCGCGAGTGACGTGACGAAGAACGATGTCTATCTCGAGAATTGTGAAAACAATTACAATTACAATTCTTCGACGTATTTGTTGGTATGTTTTGAAATTGGGTAGTCAAAGAATTTATTTGATTTTCCAAATTTTTTGTCCTGTTGTCCTGTTGTTGTTGTTGTTGTGTAATGGTAGTCACTAGTGCTTGACACGTTAACGTCAGATTTTGGATTGTTGTTAGTAATTCGTCGTGTGGTGGTGTTTTTGTGGTGCGATGTTTTTGAACTTCCGAGAGGTGTGTTGAGGTCGACGTCAAATTCATTGATTCCCACACCTTGTCGGCAATGGAAAGAATGTCCACAACGTCCTCTTTGCCAGAAGCGAGGAGTGCAACCGAAACAACACGAGGTAGTCTCCTTTGCCACAATTTTAATAATAAATTTGGACTAACCACCTGAGAACCACCAACCGTGGTCAACATCGCTCGATAAAAATCTGACGGTTTTTGATCTCCCATTTGCGAACCTAACAGAACATCGTCCAGCCGTTTTTCTTCACTCAATGATAACCTGTCGATTAACAATTTTTTGAGTGAAGAATATGGATTTATGTCTGGAGGGTTCTGTATGAGATCTACCACGGTAGAGATGATCTCAGTGGGTAAATTTGCCAAAAGAATGTTAAATTTTGTTTTTTCACTGCTAATTCTAGTTAGAGTAAACTGTGCTTCAACTTGTCGAAACCAAATATCGGGATTAGAAGGCCAAAATGGTGGTAATTTCAGTTTTGAAATATTTTGCAATTCGTGTGCGGTATTGTCACCATCAGCAGGGTCAATCATTTTTAATAAAAAATTGTCTAGAAAATACGTTTAGGTTTTCTATTAAAGTAAAGTAATTTTTTTAATATTTGTTTTTGTTAAATAAAAATTGTTGAAAATATGATTATTTTTTTGATTCCTCTTAATATTAGTCCTACAGGAATGAAAAGTGACTTTACTCACCGGCACACGACTGTAAACAAAACGTTTGGAATCTTGATGGTTGCGGGACTGGGCTGGCGCTTGTTCTAACTTGATGGAATGACTTGACGTCTTGTTGTCAATTGACGTAATATGGCTTGGGTTTGACTTTATTGGGTATGGGTAGAGCGCAGATTCAAATATTTCGTCGGGGGCAGGTTCAAGCTAATCTTCGGGTGCAGGTATAAAGTAATCGCTGGGGTAGGTTCAAAAAATTCGTCGGGGGCAGGTTCAATTTTCGGGTGCAGGTATAAAGTAATCGTTATGGTAGGTTAAAAAAAATTCGTCGGGGGCAGGTTCAATCTTCGGGGTCACCAAATTGTGGATATATATATATGTGGCCACAATATAAATTAATATTTTAATAAGTAATAATACGAACTACATTCACAGGACTAATAGAATCGATTGAATATTGTTTGAATGATAATAATATTAATAATTTTATATAGTAACGTTCTTTTTGTTTTGTACATGTCGTGTGCACAACATGCTACAATAAGTAATAAAAAATACAAATAAAATAAAATTCAACTCATTTTTATATTTGATATAAAATACTATTGTCTACAATGAATAAAATTGTGTTGCTGTCGATGACTGAAGTTCTATTTGGCCCATTTTGAACTGTAAACGTTGTAGCCAGCGTAATAATACTGGATTTTGCAAAGATGTTTTAATTTTTTCTGGGAGACCTTCTAAATGTACATCTGGAGCGAAATTTAAACAGTTTTGTAATCTAACTTGAAGGTGACCGGGTAACTAAAACATAAAGTAATTTGTATTGCTAAAAAAATCGTTTTAATTAATATATTAACTTGAATAGTTTGTGACGTTAAAACTGGAATCCAAAGTGGGAATAATTTCGTGATAAACGTCGAGTGGCATTCAATTAACGCTTCGATTAGATTTAAAAAGTGAAGACATACTATTTCGCTTAGCTGAAAATGATAAAATTATTTATTGCATAATAAGAATTATTAATGATCTTACAACTTTTGATTGTTGGACTAATTGTAAAATGCAAGGTGTTATTTTTCCCCAAAAATCAAAAAGGATATTCATGGTAACATTGTATGCTTCCGTGATTGGAAGATGGGCATTTAGGCCTTGTTCCAAATAAATGGTCCACAATTGGCATAGTATGAATGTATGAAACAAGGAAGACATGTGTAAAACGGACGCTTTTGGTTGTTCCGCGAAACCTGCCATTATTACTTGGATGTGATCGGCGATTTGACAAGAGGCTTCTTGTGGTATTGGTTGACTTAAATGAGTGGCATCGTTTCCGTGTATTGCTGTATGTGTTAATGACCCTAAGAGGAGCCACGAAAGTAATCTTACATGACCTATACATTCCACAAATTCTTTCGGACTGAAAAGAAAAAGATAAATATATAATAATAAATCAAAATTTTTATATACTACGGTTGTTGAGCTGTTGATGTATTATACAACCAAGGTAAATAACGAGATACAGCTCTGTTATCTCTCCCGTTTCCTCTACTAATTTCCAATGCCAAGTATTGAGCTACGTTACATTTGAAAATACCACCTAAAGTATCTTCATTTAATCCCATCGAAATCCCTTTGGAATAACTCTAAAAAAAATTGTAATAACAATTCTAATGTAATTCATAAACATTTTTTTTATTAACCTTTATTTTTGCCAAGGTATGAAAATCAGTTAAAAATTCCAAGATATCCGTTAAATGTACTTTCATACATTCTGCTATATTAGTATTCCAAATAGGAGTAAAATCAACCGTTATGGAATTCATATCTTTTAAGACAACGTTAGCTGGAATTGATCCGCCCACATCTTGAAGTATTAAGTTGATCAACATCAAAAGGTTCGCATCAGGAATGCAAGTTTTAAATTTCAAAGCTTGCACAAGTTCAAAAACAACCATTCTACTCAACAACATCTTATCGCGATCTTTCGTGAACGCCCTATTGCACAAGAAACAGATATCAACCAGATTGTTGTATTTTAATACGTTGGTTTGGATAGCATGACTCATTATTTTCGAAAATGGTTCCAACATTCCTTTGTATTGATTTATCAAAGGGATCTTAAAGATTGTTATTATTATTCTTAAAAGGACGGTTAAATTATCTATCCCGTGTAATAGGAATACTATTCTACGAAAAAACGTTTCCATTTGTTGTAAAACATTGTTCCATAACGGAGCATTTGATCCTAGAGCAGCTTCTAATGGCAAGCAGTCCATATAACAAGCTAAGTTTTCTAATATAATTGGTAAAGCATCCAGTGGAAGAGTTTTCTTCGAATTCAATGTCTTAAAAAAAATTAATAAATAAATTATTTTAATAATTAATAAAGAAACAAATTACCTCTAATAAAAGTTGCAATGGTGCCACCGGATTTAATTCGTTAAAATCGATCAAAGCCTGAATAACATTTTTGAAAAATTGTATCCTACATTTTTCATTCGTAGGTGTTTGAAACATTTGAGTGAATATTCCATTTGGTGCAAGTTGATGTAAAACGCATCTAAGAAATTGATGGGCTACACTCACTGCTCCTCCAGGAAGATGAATATTGCTCTCATTTTGCCAGGGATACATTGCATTGGTTGCAACTCTACAATTTAATTTATTAAAAAAAATATAACTTTTGCATAATTTCGGTTACTTTGCAACGATATTAAGAATATCTGGCAACATAGGTGCTGCTAATGATGGTTCACGATGAATAAACGTTCCTAAACATACAATACACAATCCTAATTCTTCGTCGCTGTATTCTTCTTTAACAGTACCGCATTCTGAACATCTCTCAGTAACGCACTCATCCCCTATGCGAAAAGAACTTTGTTTGATATCGCTGCCTTCGATTTTTGGAGATAATTGGGGGCTTAACCAAAAACCGGCTTTTTTGGACTCCCTGCAAGGATATGGTCGAATTGTAAAAGGTCCAGCTTTTCTAATAGGATGTCGATGATTAGTTGTGGATTCTTCTAAGAAAAAAAGTTATTACACAATAATTTAATAAAATATGTTTGCGTACTTTTTCCGTCCATATTAATACTTTTAAATGTAATTGTAGTTTCTTCTATATCATATTGTGGGGGACTCTCCAAGGCGACTTGTTTAATGAGTCTTCTAGGACTTTGAGTATAATAAGTTGAATCCCGGCCGTTTTCAACTTTCTTATACTCTGGAATTTTGGTTATGTGCTGGGCATTGATTCCTAAAGCTTGTTTAACTTTTTCGACTAATTGAGATATATCTTTAGTGTGGTGTCCGATTGGTAGTAGTCGTTCTTGATTTGGTATCTCTAGCTGGGTTTCTATTCCGGATATAGCGAAAATGTTTGTTTTTGGAGAATCTAAAAGAGAAATTGTTGAAACTAAACGTAATTTTGTTTTGTTTGAGGTGTACGTTAGTGTACCTATGGCAAGTTCCATATTTAATAAAGAACTGTCGGAAGACGTGGATGTAGTGTCTTCATAAAACGGGAATGTCGTGTTTCTTGGTACTTTAAATACTTAGTTTTTAATTTTGTTTGTGTAAAAATTTAAGAATTAAATATTTATTACCTGGTGGTTTAACTGAACCGATAGGTAAAAGTCTTTCAATGGCTGGTGGTGGGAGAACTTGGTTCTTAAGACATTCTTCGCAATCTGAGACTGGTGTGCTAACGGGAGTGATGCATGGTTCAATAATTTTTTTATGTTTTCCTAAAGGAGTTGGTTTGCTGATGTGTTGGGTGTCGATGGAGGAGCAAGTAACTTGTCTGTGAGAATCTGTGGTTAAGGTTTTTGCTACGGTGACATTTCCTGGTTTGGTGCAATTTTTTCCGGAGCCGTTTTCAAATTTTGGAATTTCTTGGATGGAGTATGTTTTACTTTCCCAAGATTTTAGCGCTTCCTCTTCACTCCCGATGATCCAAATGGGCCTTTTATGTTTCACAAGTTTGCTGATATAAACTTCTTTTGGGGATCGCTGATCTTGGGGTTCTTGCACTTTAATACACGATTTTTCGGACTTATGGTAACATAAATCTTCTGTTCCTTCATCAAATGAATCTTGCACACTCCCATGTAAAGTGCTATCGGATAAATCGCTTTCTGGGATTGCGTTTAATTCGGATTCTGTGTCATCAGCGTCTAAGCTGATTTCGGCGAATTTAGTTTTTTGTAATGTTTTATCGGGGATGCATTGAATAGCTTCCTCCCAATGCGTTTCCATGCTTGCAGCTGATGAAGGTTTCGCGTAAATGACTTGGGTTTTGCCCCCTTTGGAGCTTAAAGATACTTGAACTGATTGCCCGTCGGAATACATTGGGGATAAAGGTGGGGTTGTTAATTTTTCGTGTTGTTCATTTTCTGCGCCTAAAGATGGTTGACTAACATCTGAAGAAAAAAATTAAATAATTACTAAAAATGAGGAGTTTTAGTTTTAACCTCGAGATCGCGTCGATGGGGCTCCCATCAAAATAGTTGCTGGGATTCTCCTGCAATGATGGTGCTGCGAATCTAGGGTGTTCAAAACAATCTTGACCAAGGAAGTCAAATGAAGGCAATGAGGCTGTTGGTTGTATTGGTACTAAAATTTGGAAATTTATTTATTTAATTAAGAATAATCGGAGAACATACTTTGTATAAAAGCACAACAAGCGCCATTAACCAATTTCTTCTAAGGTGTGGTTCCAAGGACCAAAGACTGTAAGTGGGTTGTTGCAACTCCAAATTATTAGGCATATAGAACGGGGAAGGAGAATAATGCAAAAGAATCAATGAGGTCGATAACAGCATTCGCCCCATTAGATGATTTTGATCTAAAAGTTGAGGAAGATTCGATATGAAGACGCTAAACGCTGGCGATAATCGTAGACGTTGAGGTGGCAGAAAGTGACATCTATCGTTTTGGCTGTAGCCTAATAGGAGGTAAAGATGCCGCAGAACGATGTCTTGTGATTTCGATATGTACTTGTCTTCGGTTGGGTAGGCTTGATCCGATCTCGAGAGGAACTGCATCAGCAGAAACACCAAGAGATGCATCGTCTCCTTATCCGCTTCTTCCAAATCGATGACCCTTTGGAGATATCCCAGCAAGTTCTGATCGTCCACCACGTTTAAAGAGTGCACATGTCCATCTGAAACCATGGTTCTAACACATAGATTCGAAGAAAATACTATTGGTTCACATCTAGTAACTAGTAAACTAAATTCTACCTAACACGTTGTTTATAGTGCCTAAGAACTGACCCAATCCGAATCGCGATGTTTTCCTCTTTAAAATCGGCGCGGAATACTGCCGGCTATAAACTTTTTCTCTAGATTCTAAAAAAAATAAACATTAAATTATTTTATTATTAACTTATTTTATGCTACCCCTATTATCCTGTCTTGGAATTATCGAAGCAGGGGCCGACATAGTTCGTTTATAAGGCCATTTCGTGCCAAAGCTAGCACTTAACGTCTTCACGGAACTAACACCACTTCCATCCGAGTGCGAAAGGGCTTCGTGAGCTCTATGAAGTTTCCGAATGAAGACCTCACTATTCAAATCCGTGTTCCTAAGATCTAAAACACAACAATTCTTTTTTGACTCAACAAAAAAATTAAGATTTTACCTCTCATATAAGAAATATCGCCGGATTTTTCAAAATTGATCTGCGCTTCCAAAAAAAGCGTATCAAATCGATTCAAGAAGAACTCCCACGTCAATATCTTACGCTCACTTAGAGAATTGTGCAATTGGTATATCGATTGGAGCACCATTGGCCTATCGACTATCACAGAATCAAATTGCGTTTCCAGACACATTATTAACGACTAGACGAGAGAAAAAATGTAGCTGTAAGGTCACTTACACATAAACACTTTAGCACGCTGCATGCGCACGATTACATTTCAAATCGTTTATATTTCGAATTACTCATATACTTAATAAATATACTTATTATTATATATAAGTGTAATTCGTAATATTAATACGATAAAAAAAGCAATGCTTCCATTGGAATTTTATAAAAATTTCCATGCTTAATGTGGGTATTAAGCAATATAAAAGACACCATACGTAACGTTATGAATATTTACTTTAATCGCTCCGTCGTGAATAGTTCCCAAGTAAAGAGTCGCTCTTTGAGCAACATAAACATTGGGATCATCCATGCTGGAAATTAAATAACAGAATGCGTTTGCTAAGGCAGCTTGTAACTGGAGAATATTCCTCAAAGGACTAGAATCCATAAACCTCGCGATGACCGTGACCCTTTCAACTGCAACGAAACGTACTCGCCAGTCAATATTGTGAAACTCCTCTTGGATCACTCTCCAAAATACGTCGGAACCTGCCGGGAGAGTGATGCAATGGAGGAGGAGAGGTACTACTTCTTGGCAGATGTGAGAGTGTTCGGAGTTTAGTAAATCCCATAAACTTAAAAAAAAGTGGTTATTAATAGGAATTAGATTGTAATGTAAGGTTACTTTCGGATAATTAAATTTTCTTGGCACCAAATAAAAAATCCACGGTGGTCCTTTGAAGATTTCGTACAAGCGTCACCATGAAGACAGAGCACGTTGAGGCACTGAAGCATGTAATACAAAACGTCCGGTTTGTCTGTTTTGGATAATTCCTGCAGAAGTTGATAGATGTATTGAAGTGGATTCGGCAAGTCCTCCACGCAAAATTTGAATTTTCCAATCGATGTCTGCCAGCAATTCTCGGTGTCTTCCTCGGGAGGAGACTCCAACGCTTCTTCCGTTGCTTGAGACTGGATCGGCGTGGCTAAAACCCGAATATCTACTACGTGTGATGTTGATGATTGCATTTCTCTTTAACGTACGGTCATCATATTCGGTTAATGTGTAAGCTCGTTGAACCGAAAGCACCGTCCGACTATCTGATTGGATTATTGGGAGATCGAGTTGTTCCGAAACTGTTTCAACTGTAGCAGTCATGATCTGAAAATGTTCTTATACAACATTTTTTGCCAGATTAAAATTTTTAGTCCCCTTAGTTCTAAGGAGTAGAAGTAATTTCTAAATCTACTCTTTCGAATTATTGGGTTCATTGCGTACAGAACAGACGTGAGGCATGTTTACAAGAACACCTCCAACTGAGTGCACTTCAGGAATAGGCACATTTAGGACAACATCCGCTTTGCATTCTTTTTTATCTCCGTCAGGTGGACTTTTTCTGCTTTGATCATCGTATAAATCTTCTATTGGTGGCTAATAAATAATTTATATATTATTATTATTATTAATTAGAAGAATGTGATAGAAATCTTACATCAGGAGGATGTACAGGATATATAGGACTCATATATTTAACGAGATTTAATGAAAGTTGATGCCACATAATACTAGATTCGCAGTATCCACAATCGGATTTAACGCTACAAGAATGACTTCCAATCCAAGCGGCAGTAAGCATACATTTGAGAAGGCCACAAACATTTTTGCTTAAATCGGAGTTTAGTCCGGTATGTTTATCTATTGCTTGTAGTTCCATTTGTTTAAGTAGAATATCTAACATAAGAATACAACAAAATAAATTATGTTCCGCATCGCTTTCGCAATCAGCTTGTTGTGATGGTCTGCTATCGTCCGAGAATGAAGTTACGGTTGAGTCGCTATCATCAGTTAAGAGAGCTAAAAAATAATTAAAGTTAAAAATATTTATTAAAAATGATTTTTATTTTTACATGGAGATTTTTTTTCTCCATCTTCCCTAAAAATTCTCATCATTTTTTCAATTTCTTCAGCTCCTAACTTCATGTAATTCACTCCTTTTCCAAAGATATCATATAAAAATTCCAATTTTATTGTTATCTCCAACATGGTGAGTATCTAAAATGTTTTAATCATTTCAATTAAAATAAAAAGTTTTTATTTACCTGAAGCCATTGCAGAGCTTGTTGTTGTATCTTCGCCGTTGTTTTATCAAATCTGATAGCGACAAAATTATAAACTTTTTTCGGGGCGATATCAGCTTCAATATCACACATTTGAGCTTCTAATATTTTATTTAATATAGTTCTCAATTCTGGTAGTTCTTTTTCGGGGACGTCGTTCACAATAGCGTCCATCCAATGTGGCATAACAAAATCCCAAATTTCTTGTGTTATTACATTATCGTAGGAAGTAAGGCAAAAGAGACGAGTTAAACCATCTTTTAGATGCGATGTTCTTGACGCTAAAGTGTCCCTAGATACGATTTCAAAATTTGAATTTTTTGAATTGGTTGATTTAACTTACCAGTGACCACCAACTTGAGCAAACTCGGGTGGATGCGGTAATAGGCACGATATGAAGAGTTTATAATGTGTTTGTGCGATATTTTTGAGCCAATCACATACGTGATCGTTTTTTAATTTTTCCAGCGTACTTTCTTCTTGTCCTACAACTAAATGTGTATGTTAAAATTGAGGAATTATTTAAGTGTTGGGTAAAGACCATCGTATGAATAGGCTGTGACGTGAAACCAATGAAACAACATCGCCAAAAGTCTTCCTAAGACTTCTTCTGGGGTGTTTTCAACTGGAGAACATCTCCCGACTAATAACCATACTCCATATTTTCCTAATTGTTGTCTTTCTTCAATGGTGATATTGTCAATTGCTGGGGGAGGTGGAGTTTTGCCATCAGTAGGTTCTTTTTGCTCAACAACAGGTATTTTGGCTTCTTTTAAAAGGCTAACAACTGCTTCAACCATGTATGTTTGCATTTCTATATCCATGTTCCATGTTGCTGGTACGCATTTGTGCACGATGTGATCTCCACCTCTCCTGGTGTTATGACGGTTATTATGGCACTGTTCGCAGTATCTTATTGGATGGTTACCATTATAACTAGCACATTCGGTGGAAAAACAGATAGATATTGCTGATTTATCAGTCGATCTACAATTCTAAGCAAGACAAAATAAAAACAAAAAAGAAGAAATATTATAATAATACTTTATTTTCGCAGATCATAGGTTTTTGTTGCATAGGATGAAGAATATCGAAGAACATTTGATTTGGGTGTTCTCTATGTATTTCATTTGCGCATTCGATGCATAAATATAAAGGTGGTGGACTATCAGCAGCAAAGGTAATAGATATGCAATGATCATAACAAACTTTAGCCGCTTCTGCACTTCCTGCGTTTGGACAAGAATCCCGTTGACAAACAAATGGTGAGGAATCTATGAAAATCAATTATTATACGATATTATTTTAACAAAAATATTGCACCTGCAAATTTACAAATTAATCCTTTTCTATCAAAAAGATTTGCATTGAAAGGTGGCCAATAATAAAAAAGTAACTTAGCAGCTGATGACCTAGCGGTACTTGCCCCATACGCGATAACGCTCAAAATATCTTTCAGAATATTTTGTTTCAGAGTCATCAAACATTCTAACAGTTGACAATGATGAGCTGGGTTACTTGAATATTGAAACACCATCATTATTACCGCAGAAATAGACTGACAGATCTCATGTTCCCTGTTATTATATCGCGCTGAAAGAAATAAACATTTATTTAATGCAGCTTTGTTCATTAAAACTTACTTATCGTAAAAGGCAAGATGTAGAAACACAAAGAGTTTACGATATCCTGGTGAAGACTGCTAGGTAATACAGCTACGGAGGATGCGGTTAAGTATGGAAGGTTATCTATTAAATCGTGTTCAAGAAACGGAAGCAGACACCCGAGGCATTGTAAAATTGCTTGCCCAAAAGCTAAAATATAAAAATTTTACAAAATTAAGCAAATTATTTAAAAATTTTGCTTTACCGTGTAACCCATACTGAATTAATGGAGCAACCTCCATCAGTGGTATTAAAGAATTATAAAGAGCTTTATAGTCTAAACTAGGAAAGAGGGCGAGGCGAGTTGCATCCATCTCGGGATCCTTGAGAAGTTCAAGAGGAGAATCAGTTACATCTTTTAGAACAGCTATACATTAAAAAAATAATTAATTTTTGTATATAAATTATAAATAAACAGGGTGTTTCAAGAGGAATCATATTTCATTGCATTTCTAAAGATCAAAAAAAATACCAAAATTTGCAACAGTTTTGCAAGTTGATAATGGTATCACTCAGGATTCGGAATGTGAAAATAAGTCTACATTGCTTGAAGTGTATGCAAGAAATAATCTTGCTCTAAGTATTGGTAATTGAGGCAGGAGATTACTCTTGCCTTCGTTTGACTTCCAAGACGTCGGCTGCCCCAAGTATTGTTCGTGATATAAGAAATAATCTCGGCCGACTTCGAAGACGTCGACCGCCCTAAGTACTGTTCATGATACAAGAAATAAGCTCGGCCGTCTTCGAAGACGTCGGCCGCCCCAAGTATCATTGCCAATACCTATGGGCGGCCGACGTCTTCGAAGTCGGCCGAGATTATTTCTTATAGCACAAAAAAATACTTGGGGCAGCGGACGTGCTTGAAGTCAAACAAAGGCAAGAGTAATTTCAGCCGACTTCGAAGATGTCGGCTGCCCCGACCATTTTTCATGATAACCAAGTCTACACTGCTTGAAATTTATGGAAGAAATAATCTCGCTCTAAGTATTGGTAATTGAGGCAGCCGATGTCTTCGAAGTCGGCTGAGATTACTCTTGCCTTCGTTTGACTTCCAAGACGTCGGCTGCCTCAAGTATTGTTCGTGATATAAGAAATAATCTCGGCCGACTTCGAAGACGTCGGCCGCCCTAAGTACTGTTCATGATACAAGAAATAATCTCGGCCGACTTCGAAGACGTCGGCCGCCCTAAGTACTGTTCATGATACAAGAAATAAGCTCGGCCGACTTCGAAGACGTCGGCCGCCACCAAGTATCATTGCCAATACATATGGGCGGCCGACGTCTTCGAAGTCGGCCGAGATTATTTCTTATAGCACAAAAAAATACTTGGGGCAGCGGACGTGCTTGAAGTCAAACAAAGGCAAGAGTAATCTCAGCCGACTTCGAAGATGTCGGCTGCCCCGACCATTTTTCATGATAACCAAGTCTTCACTGCTTGAAATTTATGGAAGAAATAATCTCGCTCTAAGTATTGGTAATTGAGGCAGCCGACGTCTTCGAAGTCGGCTGAGATTACCTTCCAAGACGTCGGCTGCCCCAAGTATTGTTCGTGATATAAGAAATAATCTCGGCCGACTTCGAAGACGTCGGCCGCCCTAAGTACTGTTCATGATACAAGAAATAAGCTCGGCCGACTTCGAAGACGTCGGCCGCCCTAAGTATCATTGCCAATACC